AGAAAATTTTAAATGGACACATATGGCATACATTTGTGGCTTGTGTTATTTTTCTCCTGGACAGCACTGTTTTAGATCCAAATCTATTGTAAAAACTTCCACAGATGAGAAAAAGGAGACTGGGAGTTAAAGGAAACTGTGTGCTTACAAAATGAGGTTTAAAAAAAAAATCTTTAATAAATCTTAATTACATTGCCTAATTTGAAATAGACATGAATTGATAGATCTTGCTTTTGTGTTTACTTCATTATCCAAAAAAAAAATAAAAAAGGCCTTTTAGTTTTTGCTTTTAGAGTGAGAGAACAAGAAATGGTTAGAAGGGACTAGTGCCCAATTGGGTACAGGTAACCAAATCATTAGTTGTGGCTTCTCAGGAACTATTTGGAGTTCCTCGCCACTGTACCATTCTTTTTTGTTGCTGTTGTTTGTTTGTTTGTTTAATGAGATGGAGTCTCATCCTGTTGTCATACAGTGGTGCTGTCTCGGCTCACTGCAACCTCTGCCTTCCAGGGTTCAAGCGATTCTCCTGCCTCAGCCTCCCGAGTAGCTGGGACTACAAGTACGTGCCACCACTCCCGGCTAATTTTTGTAGTTTTAGTGGAGACGGTGTTTTACCATGTTGGCCAGGCTGGTCTTGAACTCCTAACCTCAGGTGATCTCCACACCTTGGCCTCCCAAAGTGCTGGGATTACAGGTGTAAGCCACGGTGCCTGGCCCACTATGCTATTCTTTGTTTTTTTGAGACAGAGTTTCGCTCTTGTTACCCAGGCTGGAGTGCAATGGCGCGATCTCGGCTCACCGCCACCTCCGCCTCCTGGGTTCAGGCAATTCTCCTGCCTCAGCCTCCTGAGTAGCTGGGATTACAGGCACACACCACCATACCCAGCTAATTTTTTGTATTTTTTTTTTAGTAGAGACGGGGTTTCACCATGTTGACCAGGATGGTCTTGATCTCTCGACCTTGTGATCCACCCGCCTCAGCCTCCCAAAGTGCTGGGATTACAGGCTTGAGCCACCGCGCCAGGCACTATGCTATTCTTAATACCTTCATTGTTAATACCTTTATTGACCTTCTTATACTTTCAATGCAGTCTTCATTTGTTGTCGTTTCAGCAAATGTTTTTGAAGACCTTTTTCTTCTCAGTGTTTCCTTTGCTCACTTCTTCCTGAGACCCTTGTTTGTATCTAGAGCAGTGTTAACACTGATCCAAACTCCAGTTTTGTCAAGGGACTGAAGAGAAGATGAGCAAAGCATTTCTGGTCTGTAATCCTTTATCTGTAATCCTGAAATCCAAAGAGCTCTGAAAACCAAATGCTGCTTTTGTTAATTCATTGGGTGGAAATCCTGACCTGAACCAGTGTGTGACTGTTTGTAGTCATTATCCCACACTGCAAGCATACTTTTATTTTTTTAATTAATTTATTTATTTCCTGAGACAGAGTTTTGCTCTTCTTACCCAGGCTGGAGTGCAGTAGCATGATCTTGGCTCACTGCAACCACTGCCTCCCGGGTTCAAGCGATTCTCTTGCTTCAGCTTCCCGAGTAGCTGTTGGGATTACAGGCATTAGCCACTATGCCTGGCTAATTTTTGTCTTTGCAGTAAAGATGGGATTTCACCATGTTTGTCAGGCTGGTCTCTAACTCCTAACCTCAGGTAATCTGCCCACCTCAGCTTCCCAAAGTGCTGAGATTACATATGCGAGGCAGCGTGCCTGGCCATCTTTTATGGCAGAAGTATTAACATGTTTGGCAATAAAGTGCTGCCCTGGACTCAAGTAGAGGTGGTATACTATGTGCATTGTGTTAACCTTTCTTGGAAAACAAAAACAAAAACAAACTACAGTCTGAATTCAGGAATACAACTGATGCTGACTTCCAGATAAGGAATTTCATGCCTCTCTTGCCATCTCAAAGAAATTGAAAATATTTTGCTAACCATAATTCTATATTTATTTATTTCATAATTCTACATTTAAAATATTTATGTTTAACACAACCTAAACAGAGTGACAGAGGTAAATGAAATGTTGCTGAAATACATGTTTATCGTGTCACTCTTCTTAAAGTGCTTTCAGAAGCTTCTTGTTTTCTGTAATTCTCCTTATCTTGGAATTTAATACCTGCCATAGGGTGGTACCTGCTTGATGCTGTATCCTTTGAGTCCCCCTTGTGTTCCTTCTGCGTCAATCAAGGCATTTCTTTCAAAGTCAAACACGTTATGTGCATCATTTCTTTTATTCTGGAAAATCGTTTTCTCTTTCTCTTTGTCAGTATTCTAATTCTTCAAGATTAATTTCAACTCCTATTTCCTCAAATTTTTCCTGATTACTTTCAGACCAGAGAGGATATATGTGTGTGATTTTAATGTAAATATCATTTACTTCCCCAATTAGATGATAAGACCTTAGCTGAAAGAGGCCCTGTTCTAAACCTCTCAGTGTTCATCATGTCTGTCATGGTGGTTTGCATTTACTAGTTGTCTTTACTAATGTTTGATTTGTGGGGAAGTAGATTAGGGGTCTGGTAGGGCAGCAAAAGTGTACTCCTAATGAAACTGTCAAATATTTGCCCTTTTTTGTTGACTGTTTTAGTTACTTTATATCTAACTAGCAAAAGTAAACAATGAAAATGGGAGTAAGAAACAGGAGGCTGTAGCTGTGTAGTTTCTCATAATTTCAGGATATATAAATGTCTCTTGGATTTTATCTTCAGTTTAATAGTGAGTAGTAGTTTGGTCTTTTATTTCCATGTATTCTTTTTTATTTATGTATTTTTATTTTGAAGTACTACATTAAATAATTAAATATGATCATTTAGCTGTGTACATTTAGGACCTAAAGCATTTTAATAAAATGATTTTAAAAGGCAGGAACCAGTATTTACCAGATAGTGCACCGATTATATATCTAATACTGTGCTGTATATTTAGCATTATTTTATTTGATCCTTAATTAATTCAGTGGTGGCAGTGGCTCTGTCCCTATTTTATTTGCGAGAACTTACTTAAGGGTACCCCCTGAGTGATAAACCTTATATTTGAAATACAGATCTATTTGTGCCACAGTATATTTAATGATCATGAGAGATTAAGAGAACAGAAGAATGAAGGGAAACTGCTAAATAGAAGATGCAGAATTATGTGAGCTAAAAAGGTCTTGGAATTGTGGCATTTACTTTTCTCACAGTGATTTTCGATTTCATTCTTCTTTTTCTTTCTTTTTAAAAATTGTTTGCCTGTGCCGACGTTACCTAGGCTGGAGTGCAGTGACTTGATCATATAGCTCACTGCAGCCTTAAACTTCCAGACTCAAGCAATTTACCTGCCTTAGCCTCCCGACTAGCTAGGACTACAGGCTCATCCAACCCTGCCTAATTTTTTTGTGTTTTCTGTAGAGACAGGACCTTGCCGTTTTGTGCAGTCTGGTCCTGAACTCCTGGGCTCAAGTAATCCTCCTACCTTGGCCTTCCAAAAATGCTGGGATTATAGGCATGAGCCACCATACCCAGCCCCATTTTCTAATTTATCCTTAATCCATCTTTTCTTTAAGCTATTTATTTATCAAAATAAACAAAAATGTTGTAGAGTGATATAGCTGAAAGAGAAAAGATTTTCTTAGTTGATTCTGTAATAGTTTTGAAGTAGAAATATAAGTGTTATTCTTTAAAAGTTTAATTTTGGGCATCTAGTTTATACTTTTACATCAGCAAATTTTAATAGGAAGGCCAACATTTGAATGTAGGGATCAGCAAAATTAGTGTAATTTATTAAATGTAAGATAATGCAAAAGAGGATAGAACTAAAACTAAGAATAAAACCAAATCAGGCATATTTTAACATACCACAAACTTGTAAGAAAGTAATATTTTAGTGTTGTGTAATCACTCTGTGTTGGATAGGATGATTGAACTCCCTGCTTTAGGAGAACGTGGGTTCACTGTTAAGTATATGTCATTTTAAAATAGGTAGCAGTACATGTTCCTGGAGATGCAGTTGGAAATGCTGCAATAGAAACTGAGAAGACCTTCTTCTGTTCTGAAATATGGAGCAAGCCTTCCAAAGTCCCAGTGTTCAAATCCCCACCTGAGACCATTTCTGCCACTTAAAGTGGCCTGTGTGCTAGGCAGATTAACCTTTAGAAATGTTATTTCATACTAAAAACATGTACCTGTGAACAGTATCTGCTCCTATCCATCCCCAAAAGGTATCAGATATAATCTTATATGCAAATATTAGTTATATTATGCCACTAAAGGTATTCCAAGTAAGTCAACACTGAATAGTGCATGGTGACTGCACTGTGAATGCAATATGAATGCCAGAGTGAATTTAATAATGTCCAATTACCAGTATTAGGTAGTTGGAAAGAGAAGGTACATCCTCATTAGATGCAGAGAGGGTGTCATATAATCCACATACTTTTGTGATTGTAATCTCTGGAGTGAGAGATTTATTAAGATCCCTTTTATCTGTTTTTTGCTGTTGCTGACAACAGCAAAATAAAAAGCATGCTAAGTGAAAAGAGTCCTGAAAAAGACATCAACTCTGTTTATAAGCTGTATGTCCTTACATAAATCTCAGTTTCCATAGGCCAAACTCTCAGGATAAAATAAAATATGTTATAAAACAAAATACATGATAAAATAACGTATGTGAAGGTACTATTATAGTTTGAAAATGTACAAACTCTAGGTGATGATACTGTATTTTTAATTTTGCCACAGTCATTTAATAGAAGAGTTGCATAATCTAAAGGCGCCAGAATTTTTGGAAGGAAGAGAAATATGAAATTTGAGGAGGTGGGTAGGAAGTGGTCAAATAGAGGCTCATATGGAATATTTGAAATCATTTTTATGAAATCATGTTGTAATTTTGAGAAAGCATTGTAATAGGAATACCAAGATAACTCTTGGATTTTTATACAACAGGTAGTTGGATTTGTCATTTTTTGAAGAATAAATACATACTTCATCCTCTTCTCTTTTGAATTTAAACCTGAAGGTTATAAATACTGATGGCACCGGGAGACGAGTATTAGTGGAAGACAAAATTCCTCACATATTTGGATTTACTTTGTTGGGTGACTACGTTTACTGGACTGACTGGCAGAGGCGTAGCATTGAAAGAGTACATAAACGAAGTGCAGAGAGGGAAGTTATCATAGATCAGCTGCCTGACCTCATGGGCCTAAAGGCCACAAATGTTCATCGCGTGATTGGTAAGTAACTCCAAAGCATTCTTAGTAATGGAAACCAGGAATGGAAAAAGATGGAGATAGTCAGCAGTGTAAATTATTGATGTTTTGTGGCAATTTAGAAACCCCCCTCCTTTTTTTTCTTTTAAACTGAGAAGGGACCTAAATGTTGATTTACTACGCTAGTTACCCAGTTTGAATTGAAGGGCTCAATCCACATGCACAGGCACATGCATACCTTCATCAAAAGAATTCGGTCTGATTGTATGAATAATGTACCTTATTTTAAAGCTTACTATGGATATAAAAGGAAAATATTTCACCATGCTTTTACTCCCTGTTAATCTGTATATGGCTTGTTTGTGACATTAGAATTGAAACTCGAGATTGGGAGCAGACATAATCACAGGCATTTGTGAACTATACACTCAGTAATTTAAAAGTGAAAATATGTTGAATGTGTCAATGTGTGTGTCCCTCTACGCCCTTTTATAATTAATCTTTTAGGTTCCAACCCCTGCGCAGAGGAAAATGGGGGATGTAGTCATCTCTGCCTCTATAGACCTCAGGGCCTTCGCTGTGCTTGCCCTATTGGTTTTGAACTCATCAGTGACATGAAGACCTGCATTGTCCCAGAGGCTTTCCTTTTGTTTTCACGGAGAGCAGATATCAGACGAATTTCTTTGGAAACAAACAATAATAATGTGGCTATTCCACTCACTGGTGTCAAGGAAGCTTCTGCTTTGGATTTTGATGTGACAGACAACCGAATTTACTGGACTGATATATCACTCAAGGTTAGCAAAAGAATTGTAATACTAAATCTAGGGACTAAAAGGGAGAACTTCTAGAATTTCTGAATCTTCATGCCATGACCTACTTCCCTCATTGCTTGACAGGCGGAGTTCACCAAAAACCTTTAAGGTTTTGTTTGATGTGTGTGTTTTGTTTGTTTGTTTGTTTGTTTGTTTATTTTTTTTTGAGACGGAGTCTTGCTCTGTTGCCCAGGCTGGAGTGCAGCAGCAGCATGATATCGGCACACTGCAACCTCTACCTCCCAGGTTCAAGTGATTCTCCTGCCTCACCTTCCTGAGTAGCTGGGACTAGCAGGCGTGTGCCACCACGCTCAGCTAATTTTTGTATTTTTAGTAGAGACAGAGTTTCACCATACTGGCCAGGCTTGTCTCTAACTCTTGACCTTGTAATCCACCTACCTTGGCCTCCTAAAGTGCTGGGATTACAGGTATAAGCCACCATGCCCAGGCCAAAACCCATAAGTTTTTAAGTGAAGGGAAAGGCCCATTCAGTATTTTATTAGATGCTTTTTAAAACAAGATACCTTGCCAGAGTTTGTTAAACTGCAAGCCATAGTCTTCCTCTACTTTCTTCCATTTGAAAATGATGAATGACATTTTCTGCAAGTAGCTGAGTAAGAAAATGTGTTATTCACATAAAATAGCTATTGATTTACTTTAACCAAAAAGTCTTTTTTTTTTTTTTTTTTTTTTGAGACGGAGTTTCGCTCTTGTTACCCAGGCTGGAGTGCAATGGCGCGATCTCGGCTCACCGCAACCTCCGCCTCCTGGGTTCAGGCAATTCTCCTGCCTCAGCCTCCCGAGTAGCCGGGATTACAGGCATGCGCCACCAAGCCCAACTAATTTTTTTTGTATTTTTTTTAGTAGAGACGGGGTTTCACCTTGTTGACCAGGATGGTCTCGATCTCTTGACCTCGTGATCCACCCTCCTCGGCCTCCCAAAGTGCTGGGATTACAGGCGTGAGCCACCGCGCCCGGCCCCAAAAAGTCTTGATTTATTTTAAACAAAGTTTTAGCGCCTGACTGAGGCGGAAAAGGCCTATAATGAGTTATTCTTTATTTTCTTCTTCCTAGAATAGTTACTGAAAAGAATACCAGGATGGTCAGAGAGAGGAAGCTCTAGACCTATAAATCTGAAGAATAATCTTTTCTTCCTCCAGATTGTTTAGGGCTTGTTTCAGATAACTTGTGTAAACTTTTTTGTAATATGCAAAAATGTGGGGTATTGGAGTCAGAGTTGGATTCTAATGCTGTTCAGTTAAATTTATTAAGTGAATAAATGAAATCAGTCTTGGTTTGCATCAGTTGATCTTCTAAATTTCCTCATCTTGAAAATAGGAAGGTGGCCAGGTGTGGTGGCTCATGCCTGTAATCCCAGCACTTTGGTAGCCTGAGGCAGGAGGATCACCTGAGGTTAGGAGTTAGAGACCAGCCTCGCCAACATGACGAAATCCTGTCTCTACTAAAAATACAAAACTTAGCTGGGTGTGGTGGTGTGTGCCTGTAATCCCAGCTACTCAGGAGACTGAGGCACAAGGATCACTTGAACCTGGAAGGTGGAAGTTACAGTGAACCAAGATATGACACTGCAGTCTCGCCTGTGTGACAGAGTGAGACTCCATCTAAAAAAAAAAGAAGAAAGAAAATAGGGATAATGCCATACTTGCAGGGCTATTGTATTAAATGAGAAAGTCTATGGACACAAAGTACTTAGGATAGTACTTTATAAGACGTATCTATGATTAGTTTGAAATATTATTTTTAAAAATTTTATGGGATTCAGAGCTATAATGGTAGTATGATAATGGTTACATTCATTTTATATGATAGGGATTATGGATTGGCATATCTTAAGCACCTTTAGAAAATTGACTACTAGGTAGGATCTATAGCATTGTGGTCACAGCTTTCCACTTGATTACTGATAAATTTAAAAAGTGATTCTGCTGTTAGAACCAAATTTTTGATTCTTTAGCATTTAAAAAATTTCCCCTGAATTGGCAATAAAACTTGAAGTTGCATTTCATAGAGATTGACATCAGATTTTTCAGTACTTTCAAGTTACGTGAATTTTATTAGGAAATACTATGCCTCTTGGCCCTTCTGGATCCTCTTGCCCCTGACAAAAACCAAACCAAACCTTATTTCTGGATAGAGTTTAAACTTACGCCGTATGACTTAGTTTTTCGTTGTGTTTTGCAGACCATCAGCAGAGCCTTTATGAATGGCAGTGCTCTGGAACATGTGGTAGAATTCGGCTTGGATTATCCAGAAGGCATGGCAGTAGACTGGCTTGGGAAGAACTTGTACTGGGCAGACACAGGAACAAATCGAATTGAGGTGTCAAAGTTGGATGGGCAGCACCGACAAGTTTTGGTGTGGAAAGACCTAGATAGTCCCAGAGCTCTAGCATTGGACCCTGCTGAAGGGTAAACAGCTTTATGTGTGCATTCTTTGCAACTACAACATACATTTTGGGGAACGTGGCATAGTTATAGATGATATCTTAGTGTCTTAATACTTACTAGGAATCTGACAACTAAATGATAGCTGAACTTTTAAAAAAATCATTAATCGAGATTTTGCTGATTTGAATAAATAATTACTAGCTAATTTTACTTTTGTCATAATTAACTTGAGATGAAGAAAGGGGAATGGATTAATAATCATATGTTACTGATGAATATATTGATATGTTAGGTACGTATACCAACAGGTATTATCCATCTATAGTTGCTTGCACAGAAGTGCAAGTCATGCTAGATTCTAAACCTATTAAAGTAAACCCAGTCATGCTAGATTCTAAACCTATTAAAGTAAACCCGCTGAAACAAATATTATGAGCTAAGAAAAAACTACATTTAAAAAGCTTTATTTTGGAGTGTTTATTAATTCAAAATGGATAGTTTAGTTTGATCATATTATAAACTGGCAGTAGCTTTGGCATTACAAGATAGACTAAACTGTTTACAACATGACGTTTTTCAAGGGCGGGTGTTCATTCTTAAAAGAGTCAGCAAATTTTTTAAAGCCAGCAGTTAAGAAATCTGATATTTGAGGAAACATTCCACTTTTAAAAGAAGTCAACAGGCCGGGCATGGTGGCTCATACCAGCACTTTGGGAGGCCGAAGCAGGTGGATCACAAGGTCAGGAGTTTGAGACCAGCCTGCCCAACATGATGAAACCCCGTTGTCTACAAAAAAATACAAAAAAATTAACCAGGTGTGGTGGCATGTGCCTGTAGTCCCAGCTGCTTGGGAGGCTGAGGCAGGAGAATTGCTTGAACCCAGGACGCAGAGGTTGCAGTGAACCAAGATCGTGCCACTGCCCCCCAGCCTGGGCGACAAGCAAGACTCCACCTTAAAAAAAAAAAAAAGTCAACAGTGTATACGTATAAATACGTTTTCTGTATTTGTAATTTAAAATAGTTTCCCTGAAATCACATTGATTCCATTATTGGCTAGTAATTCATCTAGTTAGAAGGCCGTTATCAAAGACAGCTTTTCTGCACTGACATAAATTGTGGTGATTTTTGCTCTTAACATTTGCTGCCAGACAGATAAATCTAATAGTTAGGACTAAAGACTCTAGTATTGGTTGGTGTTGGCAAGTATGAAATTTTCTCACGGTAGTTTCTCTTTAGCTCTTGTGGTATGCACATGCCTGTCAGCTGACAAGTGGAAATGGATAGAAAGCCAGGATACCTTCAGTTTTCAGAAAAGCATGTTCATACATTGTTACCAAGTCAGCCATCAGCTGACAGGCTGATGAGTGAATGTCTATCCTCAGGTATTTCATGAGAGCTGGCACGTGAAGTGCTTTTTTAGTTCCAGTATTCAAGAGTCTCAAAAACTAGCACCTCATACTTGAAAGGGCGTTTCGCCAAGGATTAGCTTCTAGTTCTAGCTCTGTAATGTAACTGGCTTGAAGACATTAGATAAATCGTTCACATTTCTTGCAGTGTTTTGGCCTCTTCATCTGTAAAAAAAAGCCTGTACTGTTTTGGCCTCTTCATCTATAAAAAAGCCTGTACTGTAGGATTGCTTTAAGATTAAAGTGCAAAACTCAAAAAAGGAAAATAAAAGCAAAATAATTAATCTAAAATTTCAGAGATTATAGTAGTAGTGGACACATCAGGCGATGATTTGTTGTTCTTACCATATAGTATGCTCCCTTGGACTGTATGACCAAATACATTTTCGAGCTTTGCTTTTAATTTCAGTTAAAGGCTTAGTATTTATACTTACCTTTTATGTACTTCTGCAGCTTATTTTGAGGAAGAGTTGATTATACAAGTCAAAAAGTAAGTTCAGCATATTGAAAACTCAAATTATTTAATATTCAGAAAGACATAAAACTATTTTACTCAGAAGTGAACAAGAGTCTGAGACCAGAGGGAGCTTTAATTTAAACCTTTGCTGTTTTTTTTGAATATTAGTTTTATAAATGCCAGTGCTGCAATAAACTGTTGGTTTATTTCCAGTTCCTAAGTTTGGATGGAACAAATTTATTGGAAAGACTAAAGAAAGCTGACTCACTTCCTTTTTGGGATATGGAAAAAAATACTTAGTTTAGGGTTCCAAAATAATTGAAAGCATTGTAGCCATGATTTTGTTTTACCCATTTCCTTGATTTGCCATGTTTTCTTTAAATTTATTTAGTTACTATGCATGAATATGACCTTTCTCCCAGATAATTAAAAAAAAAAATGAAATGTTAAATATCTATTATTTTGAATTTAGATTTATGTATTGGACCGAATGGGGTGGAAAACCTAAGATAGACAGAGCTGCAATGGATGGAAGTGAACGTACTACCTTAGTTCCAAATGTGGGGCGGGCAAATGGCCTGACTATTGATTATGCTAAAAGGAGGCTTTATTGGACAGATCTGGACACCAACTTAATAGAATCTTCAAATATGCTTGGTAAGCTTTACTGCTTTTTACTTAGACAGACAGTATATTCTTTCCATGTAAAAATTTTTGGCTGCTGTTTATCATTGTTTAGATACTTTGAATACAACTTCATATGAATGTGTCCATTATTCTTCTGTTTTGGAATTGTGTTCTGTTTTTTATTATTAATAGTGATCCAGGTACTTGGATTCATCTCTTTATTATGTGAAAGTTTCATTATTATCGGGCTTGTAATGAAATTTATAACTCCCTAGGTACCCCTGAAAGGACTTTTTGTACCAGTAAAATATGTGTATTTTCATCTTTTTCCCTATAGTTCAAGAAGGAAAAATGGACTATAGACCCTTACATAGAGAAAATAAAATCACATTTAAAGTAGACCACTTGCAAGAGTTTTAGGAAACCTAGTGATTCATAGCAGGAATATAAGTTTGAAGTATGGGGTAAGACTGCACATGGATTGATTTCAGAGAACTGGTCTGTTTTTAGAATTGCTTTTAAATACATTATTCTATTTTAAATTGCTTACAAATATGTTTTATGTTAGATTTTTTTTTTTTTTTCCAACAAGACACTTGTATTCTCACATGTTTCATCACACTGCTTCTCCCTGTCTACTGCCTTTCCAAAAACAGGACTCAACCGTGAAGTTATAGCAGATGACTTGCCTCATCCTTTTGGCTTAACTCAGTACCAAGATTATATCTACTGGACAGACTGGAGCCGACGCAGCATTGAGCGTGCCAACAAAACCAGTGGCCAAAACCGCACCGTCATTCAGGGCCATTTGGATTATGTGATGGACATTCTCGTCTTTCACTCCTCTCGACAGTCAGGGTGGAATGAATGTGCTTCCAGCAATGGGCACTGCTCCCACCTCTGCTTGGCTGTGCCAGTTGGGGGTTTTGTTTGTGGATGCCCTGCCCACTACTCTCTTAATGCTGACAACAAGACTTGTAGTGGTAAGCTGCATTTCCCTCCAAAGCAAGCTAGAATTAGAGAAAGCAACCTTTCCAAAGTACTTTAGTGTATGTTCTTTCTAAAGTAAAACATTTTGGAAATCCAGAAGGGGTTATTTGTTTAGTTAAATGGTAGGGGAATGCAAGTTTTTGTTACTTACTACTTGTTTGATGGTAGCAATTTGATGTTATAGAAAAATTAAGTCTTAGGCTGGTGCATTGTCTTATGTACATAATCCTGAAACTTTGGGAAGTTAAGGTGGGAGGGTTGCGTAAGCTCAGGAGTTCAAGACCAGCCAAGGCAATATAGCAAGACCTTGTCTCTACAAAAAGTAAATTAGCCAAGGTGGTGGTGCACACCTGCAGTCTCACCTGCTCAGGAGGGTGAGGTGAGAGCATCACTTGGTCCCAGGAGATTGAGGCTGCAGTGAGCCATGATCACATCACTGCACTCCAGCCTGGGTGACATAGAAAGACTCTTTCATTAAAGAAAGGAAAAATTAAGTCTTTTACCCTTGGATCTTAAATGTTAAGTGTAAAGTTTGCATAGTGTCAAGCATCATATTTATTTATTATAAAGGAAGGGAAGAGCAGTACCAACAGTAAAACAGAGAATCCTAAAACACAACTTACCTGTCCTTTGAAGTGCATAGAGTAGGACAATCATAAAAAATTTAAATGTTTAACAGGCCATACAGAAAATGCATATGAGAGCATGTGACCCAGTATAAAGTAATAGTTGCTAGGAAACTAAAGAGAACATGCTATGAACATAGTAGACAGTTGCAATTTAATTGAAGCTGTTACCAGATCTTTTCATTCAGTCTTGAATCTAGATTTTTTTGTGTGTAACTCCCTCATCTCCTGATTTTTAAATACTGGCAAGTACACACACACACTAGTATGTAACAAAACATTGTCAGCTAGGGGAAACCTGGCTTATAACTTAAATATATATTTGAAGGCCCATTTATTGGTGGATAGACAAGAATAAATTGGTAGATATGATTAAGAAATAGGCCGGGCGCCGTGGCTCAAGCCTGTAATCACAGCACTTTGGGAGGCCGAGGTGGGTGGATCACAAGGTCAAGAGATCGAGACCATCCTGGTCAACATGGTGAAACCCCATCTCTACTAAAAATACAAAAAAATTAGCTGGGCATGGTGGCACGTGCCTGTAATCCCAGCTACTCAGGAGGCTGAGGCAGGAGAATTGCCTGAACCCAGGAGGTGGAGGTTGCGGTGAGCCGAGATCGCGCCATTGCACTCCAGCCTGGGTAACAAGAGTGAAACTCTGTTTCAAAAAAAAAAAAAAGTTGATCAAATCAGAGAAGAGTAGATTATGGGAGAGGTAGGGTATAGGTCGATATGGTGGAAGTAGCAAACTGCTAAGGATATTCAAAATAATTAACTATCTACATGACTTTCTTTTGTGCTTGAGAGAATGTGTCAGAAATCCCATAGGAAAAATTTGGTCTATTCTGATACCAATTTCAGTTGTGAAAGAGAAAAAACACAAGCATATAGTGGAGTGATTAAGAGGTTATACTTTGGAATCTCTGCCAAACGTTAGCTTTTTGCTTTACACAATAAATTCTTTAAGGCTTAATTGTTTCTCATTGGTAAAATTGGAATAATAATAGTAACTGCTGTGTAGGGTTGTTGTGAAGATTAAAGTTGATACATGATTTGAATTTCTGGGGATAAAAACCAGTATCAGGGAAGTCAGTTAGACGAGTGTGATAATGCAGGTAGACCTGGACAATAATGGTGGCAGCAGCATGTTTGTTGATGAAGAGAAGTTGATGGATTCAAGATATATTTTGAAGCTGGAACAAGCAGAAGTTATTAATGAGTTCCATGTGGGAAAGAAAGGAAGGAAGCAAGGGTGACCTGTATTATGTGTCATAGGTGATGGACTATAATCAGAGAAGAGACATGTGGTTGGAGATACTAAGTTTGGAATTGCCAGGATATATTTAAAATGAATGAGGTTACCTAAAGAGAAGGTGTAGTGCAAGAGCCAGCAACTTTCTTAGGCTTTGTGGGTGTTTAGGCTGTCACACCTGCTGAACTCTGTCTGCACAGCTTTCACCGTGGTAATGTGAGAGCAGCCTTAGGCAGTACATTTTGAAAATTGAAGTGGCTCAATTCTAGTAAAACTTTATTACAGAAGCAGGCAGCAGGCCAGATTTGACTTGTGGGCCATAACCCTCATCAGGCCATAACTCCCCATGATGGAGAGAAAAGAAGGCAGTTGGTAGACTGTGCGGCTCTGGTTGAGGAGGGGATGTTCACAAAGAACACTGAACAGTAGCAACCAGAGAGGTAAGAGGAAAAGCAGGAGAAAATAGAGGCATGGAAGACAGAGATAAGGTTGTTTCAAAAATGAACTCTGTTGAATGCTGTGAAGTTGAGTCAGGGGAGGTCTAAAATAGTATGCATTGGATTTTTTGGGTAAGGTGGTTATTAGCAATCCTGAAGAGACTAATTTCAGGGAAGTAATGGTGAGATGCAGAATGCCGTAGATTAAAACGTGAATGGAAAAAAGGAAAGGACAGTGACATATTTATATATGTCACATCTCTTTTGAGAAGGTTGGCTTTGGATGGAAGGAGAAAATGAGGTAATAATGGAGGAAGGAGGTAAAAGAATACAGAACGACTGTTTGAGATTACTTCCATGCCTCTATTTTCTCCTGTTTTTCCTCTTACCTCTTAGCTGCTTACACCCGTGCTTGTTGGTTAGAGAAATTACTGCTGAGTGTCCCTGATATCTTGTCTGCTAGCTGCATTTCTGAGATACATCAGCAGTGTTTCAAGAGGCTTCTTATTTTTTTATAATGAGTACTTATATTTATAAAGATGTATTTGATTCCAAGGCATATTATAAGAGTTTAACACAAAACATTTGCCCTTAAAATTTTTCTAACATTGTGTAATTTACTCCTTGTCCTGTTATGAAAGGTAAATCAGATCATGTTTCTGTGCTTAAAAACCTTACAATGGCTCCCTATTTCACATAGAATAAAAACCCAGTTCTTACAATGGCCTGCTGGGTCCTAATGACCTACACACCACATTTCATAACCCCTCTTCACTCTTAGGCCCCACCACTCAGTTTTCTTCTCTAACCTCAGATTTTACTCTTGTCTTCCTTGCTTTCTTCATGACAGCCACAATAACCTGATTGCTGGTTTTAGATAGGCTAGGTACCCCCACCTCATGCTTGTTACACTCCTTGTTTCCTCAGCTTGGAGTGTTCTTGCATATATTTACACGGATAGCCCTCACCTCTAAGTCTTTGCTTAATTGTTTCCATCATTGTGACACCTGGTCTGTGCTATTTAAAATTAAAATTATGCTGCCATCCTATCCAGCATTGCCAGTGCCCCTTATGTGTACTTTTTCTTTTTCCCTTAGCACTTTCACCCTTTTATATGTTATGTAATTTATACACTCTATTATTTAGATAACTCCCATCTTTACTATATTTATTGCTTATTGTTTGTCTATTGGAATATAAACTCCATGAAGCAACAATTTTTTTCTGTTTTCTTCGTTGATGTATCTTAACATGCGTTAGAATAACACTTAGTATGTGGTAGACACTCAAGAAATTATTGTTAAATAAATGAATGAAGAAGCAAGGCAAGATCTGGGAAAACCCTATGCTGTTTTACCCAACAGCTTTGTGACCTTGGAAAAATTATTTAATCTTTCTTTTTTCTTTTTCTTTCCTTCTTTTTTTTTTCTTTCTTTCTTTTCTTTTTTTTTTTTTTTTTTTTTTTTTTTGAGAGTCTCACTCGGTCACCCAGGCTGAAGTAAAGTGGTACGATCTTGGCTCACTGCAACCTCTATCTCCCAGGTTCAGGCAATTCTCCTGTCTCAACCTCCTAAGTAGTTGGGATTACAAGCACGCACCAGGGTGCCTGGCTAATTCTTTTGTATTTGTAGTGGAGAGGGGATTTCACCATGTTGGTCAGGCTGGTCTTAAACTCCTGACCTCAGGTGATCTACCTGCGTCGGCCTCTCAAAGTGCTGGGATTACAGGCATGAGCCACCGCACCAGCCTAACCTTTCTGATCCTTAGTGCATTCACCTATCAGGTAGAGATAATAATTTTGTGGATTAAATAACATTTAGTATGATATGTAACATATTGGAAGTCCTAAATAAGTTTTTATTTCTTTTCCTTCCCTTGTCTCAAATAATTTTATTCTCTTACTTTAAAAGTCATAGCTACAAGTATATGTCACTCATTGCTTCTCTCTGGCTTTTTTTCCCCTCTTTTTAAGAGGTCAGGTTTTACTGTGTTGCCCAGGTTGGACTTGAACTCCTGGGCTCAAGCAGTCCTATGTCAGTCTCCCTAGTTGCTGGAACTAGGAGCCCATGCCACTGCACTAGGCTCTGTTGCTTGTTTCTTTATACATTAGTGTAATGAGTATTGAACACCTATTACATGCTGGACATTACTTCATTGGAAAATACAGCAGTGGGTGAAATTCAATGGGACAGATAACAAACTGAGTAAATTATATCAGGGATTAGGTGGCAATAAGTATAATGAAGAAAGCTAAAGAGCAAGAAAGGGTGATAGTGGCAGGGACTGCAGTGTTAAGTAGGGTGATTAGGGAAGTTCTTACTGAAAAAGCGACATGTCAAGAACTGAAGGAAGTGAGGAAATGAGCTATGTGGATGTCTGGGAAAAGACCTCTCAAGCAAAAGGGAGTAGTAAATGCCAAAGGTCTTAACGGAAGATGTCCGACATGGTAGAGGAACACCTAGGAAGCTAATGTTGCTGGAATGAAGTGAAGAGATTAGATCAGAGAGGAAATGGGAAGCCAAATTGTGTAATCCTTTGTTGAGTACTGAAGTGGCCTCTGTGGCACCTTTGTGCAAACTGGAAAAAGATGTTTCCTCTGGGCGGATTTAGCCCTATAGGTACATGGCATGGCTAAGGAAGTGTGGACTGGATTTCAGTTCCTACTCGATGCCCCTGGCACACTGCACAAATGGCACAGCCGTACATGATGGGCTTGGCCTTATAGTTTAGTCTACTCTTACTACAGGTGAACACATACGCCTTCAGAAGAGAATTGAAAAGCTCCCTCATACATACATTTAATCCTCCAGGTTCTTTGCTGTCTTCATTTTGGGAATGTGGGATTGAGACAACCAGATGAGGTCGTTTATTAAAGCACCATTCTGAGGGAAATGTGGGAGAGGTGGTTAGAGTTTACATAAATTTGATAGGGTGGATTTAGGCTTTTAAAATGGCTTATTCTCTGTCATTTTAAGCACATACTGACCTGAAAGTAAGTCAAAATATTAGCTGGCTCTTAGAAATAAACAGTTAATTTATAATTTTTAATATATTTGAGTAGACTTTTTGAAACAAGCATTTATTTGGAGCCACATGTGGCCTTTATCTTAATCCACATTTCTAGAACAAGATCTACACCCAATTGTGGAATCTTATTGAAGGTTAAAATTTTACTTGGAAAAGAATACCCAGCAAAATATACTAGGAGCCACATATATATTTGATTAATTGCTTCCCAGGCAAGAAAATTTGGGAACTAAAACTCTGGGGTCTTTTTTCTGTCTTTTAAACACAAGGGATTCTTGCTATGTTGTTCAGGCTGGTCTTGAACTCCCAGCTTCAAGTGATCCTACTGCCTCAGCCTCCCAAAGGACTAGTATTACAGGCATGAGCCACTGCTTCCAGCCAATTTAGAATCTTAAAATTTTTTTTTTTCTTGATTTACTAAGAAAGTAGTACTGCCAAAATATTATTCTTTTAAAATAAAAACAGTAGTGGGAAACTTTTTAGCTATTCTCTGATGTGTTCTTACTACTTGAAGCATGGACTCTATAAAAATTGCTAAAAGTTGTTAAATCAATGTATAAATAGAATAGACTCCAGATAATGGAAATTTTCTAGTAGAATCATTGGGATAACTTTCTAAATCTTCCAAGGTGAGTGTGGCTTTTTAACTAATGAAGAACTTAAATAAATCAGAATTGCAGTTTTGTAAATATCAAGTTTCTTTGTGACTACTGAGTTCCTTTGGTATTTAAGCCAGTATTCATTTGAGTTTAAATGTAAAATAAGCTGAGAGACCACAAATAATGAAGCTGTGGAGAATGGGGAATAGGAGGAAATAAAGCAAGGAGTCCTGACTTGGCTATATATGTTTAATATTCCTCAGAAGGACAGAATTCTCCTGGATTTAGGTGATGACTGAGCACCAAGAAAATAGAGTATAATTATGAAATGTATAAAAATATTTCAATGAAGATTTAAAAAATGGCATTAGACTTTGAAGTTGTTGGTAGTCTCTCAAAAGTCATTCTTTTCTAGATATTTTCCTGTATTAAAAATGACTGCATAGTAATAAGAGGACTAGTCCCTGAGAAAGGAAAATGTGCTGTCTTTGTTGCATTTTCCCATTTCATGAATTTAGGGCATCAACACAGAATATATTTTGTTTTGTTTTGTTTTTGAGACGGAGTCTTGCTCTTGCCCAGGCTGTAGTGCAGTGATGCAATCTCAGCTCACTGCAATCTCCACCTCCCAGGTTCAAGTGATTTTCCTGCCTCAGCCTCCCAAGTAGCTGGGCTTACAGCTGCTCACCACCATGCTTGGCTAATTTTTATATTTTTAGTAGAGACGGGATTTCACCATATTGGCCAGGCTGATCTGGAATTCCTGAGTTTGTGATCCACCTACCTTGGCCTCCCAAAGTGCTAGGATTACAGGTGTAAGCCACCGCGCCCGGCCTACAAAGAATATTTTTTAGTGAAAATATAAAGATTTTATGAGGATTAGAAATAATGAACATAAAGTGTATTCATTTATTTTCATGCTGTTGATAAAAACATACCTGAAACTGGGAAGAAAAAGAGGTTTAATTGGACTTACAGTTCCACATGGCTGGGGAGGCCTCAAAATCATGGTGGGAGGCAAAAGGCACTTCTCACCTGGTGGCAAGAGACAATTGAGAAAGAAGCAAAAGTGGAAACTCCTGATAAACCCATCAGATCTTATGAGACTGATTCACTATCATGAGAATAGCATGGGAAAGACCAGCCTGGGTCCCTCCTACAACATGTGGGAATTGTGGGAGTACAATTCAAGTTGAGATTTGGGTGGGGACACAGTCAAACTATATCATAAGGCTTCTATTATTTTGTAAGTTTTACCTGCTCCTTTTCTATGCCGTCATCACATACAAAAGAAAATAGTATCTGCAATCTATGAGGGTTTAATGCCTGTTATTACTAAGTTTATTACAACTACTACTGGTAATAAACAGTAGTTATTTTAAATTTATGGCTGGGCATAGTGGCTCTGCCTATAATCCCAGCAGTTTGGGAGGCCCAGGTGGGAGGATTGCTTGAGCCCAGGAGTTTGAGACCAGCCTGGGCAACATAGCGAGACACCATCTCTATTAAGTTTTTATAAAAATTTTAAGTGATTAAAAATATATTAAAAATTTACATTTATATAGTGCCTTACAGTTTTTAAAGTATTTTCATGTATGTTGTAAAATTCTCATAGTAATTCAGTGAGAGGGAAAAGGTGGCTATACCCTCTATTTTACTGCTGAGTAAACTTTGGCCTAGAGAGGCTCAGTGACTTACTTAAGATCAAATGAGACGGCTGAGACTAAAATCAGCCTTCTTTTTTTTCCCCTTGAGATGGATCTTGCCCTGTCACGTGCAAAATCCGTCTGTAAGTTTCTGCTTTAACTTAGGCAAGCCCAGGCTTCCTGCCACCCACCAGACAGAATAGGTTAAGGGTTATTCACTTGGTAGACCAGGAGAATTTTGTAAATTTTTATCAAGTGCCTCATGGAAATAAAGTTTTCTGTGGTATCTCTTGAACAAAATGGAGAAAAATAGGGTAGGTGGCTGTATCATTAGGTAAATTCATAACTGATTTGGTAACGAGAGTGCTGATTAGTGTTACTCTGAAGAGAGTTTTTGAGGGCATGCCAAAGAATTCTGTCCTCAGCCTTAGGTCTTCAACATCTATGTCTGTTTTATGTGAAATATATACAACAAGCTGATTAAATCATTGGATGATAGAGGATGTAGAGTAACTAGATTTCAGATTTTCTCTTTTCTTCCTTTTAAGCTCCTACCACTTTCCTGCTCTTCAGTCAAAAGAGTGCTATCAACCGCATGGTGATTGATGAACAACAGAGCCCTGACATCATCCTTCCCATCCACAGCCTTCGGAATGTCCGGGCCATTGACTATGACCCACTGGACAAGCAACTCTATTGGATTGACTCACGACAAAACATGATCCGAAAGGCACAAGAAGATGGCAGCCAGGTAATTGAGAGCTTGGTTCAAAATTCGTTTCTCCTGACTAATAACTGGACTCACCAAGCATCCTGTTTCACTTGTTTTGACTCTGTTTAAGTATGTATGTAAGAAACTGAAATTCTGGATCCAGTAGCTTTTTTCCTTCTGATGATATTTTCTTTGAGTAAGCAATTGTTTGATGATGATATTATGATGAAAATTGTTAGGCTTACTTAAGCTGTTATATTGGTAATGGCTTTGTGACTGCCCCCTACATTTCTTTATGAAGTCTTTTTTTTTTTTTTACATTTCTATTTGTATGGAGTATTAGAAGCCTTGACATAGGCCTTGGTTCTGATACCAGCTCTATTCCTCACTAGGATTCTTACAAACTTTTTTTTAACTGGAAAGAATGCAAAGCACGTAGCTCTTATGTGTTATGTAATAGGAATTCAATAACAGTTACACTACTAATTAACTATTATTTAAAAGGTTTGGATATGAAACATAACACAGTCTCAGTAAGATTAAAAACATCTAACATGTTATTAATCCAATGGGTTGTATTAGTCATAATTATTTGGTGAATGTGGAATGGGAATGAGGATATTATTAATAAATCTTACCCATTTACATACCAGTTATGGATTTCTGTACCATTATCTATACTTCTTTGCTTTCGTTCTGTGGCTAAGCCCTGTTAGACTGTGATTATAATACTATAAATAATTACTTGTTATCGTTCTTACAGCAGTGATACTAAGTTGTATCTTGAATGTATTAAAATTTAGGGAAGTTAGAGTACCATTTTTCGATAAGTCTCATCTTACAATAAAGAGCAAGGAGGTAATATATCTACAGCTGCTGAGAGATCATTTAGGGTATAGTCATAGCTGTATATTCTAGATGGACTTTCTACCATATAGGCCAGGACTGATGGGCTGATAACTAATAGATAGAAATTAAATTTATTACACAGCCAACTACATGGCAAATAAATTAGATAACCTCATTAAGGAATATGTTACTTCAGAGATACTGATTGAGTTAAGCTGTAATTCGGATTGAACAAATAGACGAAGCCTCTCTTTTTCCTTGACTTTATTTTTTTAAAAATTACATGTGTAGAGTTGAAGATCAGAAAAAGAGATGATGGATTTGATTTGTAACCTTTACTAGTTGCTTTTATTGCTAGGGCAGCATTTCTCAAATTAAGCACTGTGGTCATTTTGGGCTGGATAATTGTTGTGAGGGGCTGCTCTGAATACTGTAGGATGTTTAACAGCATCCCTAGCCTCTGCCCACTAGATACCAGTTATATTCCCAGAGTCGTGACAGTAAAAAATGCCTTCAAACATTGCCAAATGACCATGGCGGGGCAATATTGCCTCTAGTTGTGAACTGCTTTTTTAGAGGTATTTCTGGGGTGTGGTTTTAGCCACAGTTGTCTCCAGTTTACAGAAGAGAATTGCTACCTTCTCACTCCCATCTCTTAATCAAGGCATTGTCGGGTTCTTGGAGCAACTAATCTGACCTTAGCTCTTTTCAGCAGCGGGATAACCCAAGAAACATTGGAAATGTGTGTTAACAAAGAAGCACATTACCCATTAAAAATGGTATCAGTAAGACATACTCCTCAAGACTTGAGAGAGCCTTCTTAGCTTTGTGCCCATGTAGGTATAAGCATGTGAGTGATTGTCTCAGAGTTAGCTGCCCTAGAGTTTAATTTTCTGTGTATTTCTTTTCTTCCCTAGGGCTTTACTGTGGTTGTGAGCTCTGTTCCGAGTCAGAACCTGGAAATACAACCTTATGACCTCAGCATTGATATTTACAGCCGCTATATCTACTGGACTTGTGAGGCTGCCAATGTCATTAATGTGACAAGATTAGATGGGAGATCAATTGGAGTGGTGCTAAAAGGCGAGCAGGACAGACCTCGAGCCATTGTGGTAAACCCAGAGAAAGGGTATGTTACTAAAGTGGCGTTCAGATACTGTGGCTTCTGAGACCTACCTCACCCTTCTTTTTCAGCCATTACTTACTTACCTTTAAGTGTTCTGTGCTCCAGCAAACAACTCAGTCTTCTCTATCCATTTGTCTCTGCATTATCTTAATAACTTTCTTGTACTGTCTTTGATTTCACTGCCCAGACTTTCTTTCCTGGGCCACTATTGGTTTAATTCTAAGTCTTAACTATGCCTTCAGGACCATTTCAACTGCTATATCCTCCGGGAAGTTTTCTTTGATCTACCTCATCTCAAACAGCTGTGATTTTTCCCACCTCCTGAATACTTAGCACTCTGTATCTATGAATAAGGTATACTTAGTCATTTCCGATTTACCTTATATTTAATTATTTTTTAGTCTTGTATTTACCACTAGATATCAGTTTTCTTTATGATGGGAACTAATATGTTTTCATTCATTTAATACAGAGCTTTGCATTTAATACTCAGTGCTCAATTGTATCTGAATGAATGATAAGGTATTCAGCAAGGAAAATAGCTTACTTCAAAAGAGTTAGAGGAAAAGGATGAAATTTAGAAGTTAAATACAAGAACTTATTTATATATGACTTCTTTTTAGTTATTAAATAGATTAGTTAGAGAATTTAAACTTTTGTGTTTAGGTGTCTCTAGTCACTGATCTTTAATTCATTGTGTTATTCTGAAAACATATGTATGCCTATGTCTAACACTATTCTATTAATCTATGAAAGCTTCTTAATAATTTCTGTGTACCTTTGTTGCTACTATTAAAAGTAGTAAAAGTATCCCATGACCTTTTGAAAATGTAAATATATAAATATATATAAATAAGTATATATATATATATATATATATATATATATATATTTTTTTTTTTTTTTTTTTCAATACAAGATCTGGCTCTATCACCCAGGCTAGAGTGCAGTAACAACAATCTCAGCTCACTGCAACCTCTGCCTCCTGGGTTCAAGTGATCCTCCCACCTCAGCCTTCTGAACAGCTGGGACTACAGGCACACACCACCATGCCTGGCTAATTTTTGTGGTATTTTTTTTGTAGGAATGGGGTTTTGCCGTGTTGTCCAGGCAGGTCTCTAACTCATAAGCTTAAGCAGTCCCCCTGCCTTGGCCTTCCAAAGTGCTGAGATTATAGGCATGAGCCACTATACATGGCCAAAAAATACATATTTTAAAACATTTTAAAATATTCTACATCAATTTGTCTTAATAAGAATATTGTCATTTTGCCGGGCGCGGTGGCTCAAGCCTGTAATCCCAGCACTTTGGGAGGCCGAGGCGGGTGGATCACGAGGTCGAGAGATTGAGACCATCCTGGTCAACATGGTGGAACCCCGTCTCTACTAAAAATACAAAAAATTAGCTGGGCATGGTGGCTCGTGCCTGTAATCCCAGCTACTCAGGAGGCTGAGGCAGGAGAATTGCCTGAACCCAGGAGGCGGAGGTTGCGGTGAGCCGAGATCGCGCCATTGCACTCCAGCCTGGGTAACAAGAGCGAAACTCCGTCACACACACAAAAAAAGAATATTGTCATTTTATGTGTTCTTACTCCAGTAACTCATTTTCTCCTCCTTTCCCTCTAGGTATATGTATTTTACCAATCTTCAGGAAAGGTCTCCTAAAATTGAACGGGCTGCTTTGGATGGGACAGAACGGGAGGTCCTGTTTTTCAGTGGCTTAAGTAAACCAATTGCTTTAGCCCTTGATAGCAGGCTGGGCAAGCTCTTTTGGGCCGATTCAGATCTCCGGCGAATTGAAAGCAGTGATCTCTCAGGTACCCAAGAAATATGTTTTCTTATTTTGATTAGAGTTTTTAAGATGATTCATCTGTTGTGTTTTTCTTGCATAATATATTTTTGGGCACATTTCCTGGCAGTTTTATTCATTATATGTAGTCATCAGATTGGTTGATGAAGAGCTTTTTCTTCAACCATCAACATGATTACTCCTTTGTTATGTGGTTACCCACCAGTTTTCTTCATCTTGGCTCTGTAAATAATGTATTTCTAATGCGTCTCTTCTCCTTTCCTAAGTCTCCTGCTCTAGTTTATGTTCTTGTCATCTCTGGCTAAATCCTCGCCTCTGGTTGATGTCCCTGCCATTTTTTTCCATAAAAGTTTACACATGGCTCCTAAATTTTCTGAAACATGGTTTTAATGTCACTGCTTTCTTTAAAAAAATTTTCATGGTAGTTTTATAAACTGTAGGAAAAAGTCTAGTTGCACTCTTAAGTTGGCATAAGTTGGTATTCACCTTTCACAACTTCATCATGGCCTTTACCTTTCTGGTATTTTAACCAAATTAAATCATTTGTTGGTCTTAAGATATACTTTAACTTTCACATTTCTCTGCAATCTTCTGTCCATAATTATAGTTACTTCCCCTGTCTACGATTTCTGATGTCGTATACTCTTTGTTGGCCTCACTAGTGATCAGATAAATGAAATTAAAATATTATACTATTTGTGTCTGTCAACATGGCAAAAATATGTTAATGTTGACTATTGCCTAGCATTGGCCAATATGGTAGAAAATGATATGCCTCCATGTGCTTTGGTGGAAGTAGAAATTGATAAAGCCTTTTTAGAGGACAATTTGCCAGTAATAATCAAAATTTAAAATATGCATTCCTTTTGATCTGGTGATTTCCTTTGTAGATAGCTGTCTTAGAGAAATACTGACCCAAGTGTACAAGGGTATTGGCTGAGCATTATTCATGACAGTCCTTCATGGCGAAATACATTCTATTATATCGTATGGAATATTACATTCATTCAAAAGAATAAAGTGTGCACTGATGTGACCGATTTTTAAAAATTAAATTTTATAAAAATGTTTAAGATCTAGTTTTTTTGTTTGTTTGTTTGTTTTTTTGAGACGGAGTTTCGCTCTTGTTACCCAGGCTGGAGTGCAATGGCGTGATCTCGGCTCACTGCAACCTCTGCCTCCTGGGTTCAGGCAATTCTCCGGCCTCAGCCTCCTGAGTAGCTGGGATTACAGGCACGCGCCACCATGCCCAGCTAATTTTTTGTATTTTTAGTAGAGATGGGGTTTCACCATGTTGACCAGGATGGTCTTGATCTCTTGACCTCATGATCCACCCACCTCGGCCTCCCAAAGTGCTGGGATTACAGGCTTGAGCCACTGCGCCTGGCCTAAGATCTAGTTTTGTTTAAAATTTAAAACCATGTAATATATACACAGTGTATGATACATACTGTTAAGAAATGTGGGAACTAAGGCCAGGCGTGGTGGCTTATGCCTGTAATCCCAGCACATTGGGAGGCCAAAGCAGGTGGATCACCTGCGGTCAGGAGTTTGAGACCAGCCTGGCCAACATGGCAAAACATTGTCTCTACTAAAAATACAAAAATCAGCCCGGTGTGGTGGCAGACGGCACCTGTAATCCCAGCTACTCTGGAGGCTGAGGCAGAAGAATCGCTTGAACCTGGGAGGCAGAGATTGCAGTGAGCCAATATCATGCCATTGCACTCCAGCCTGGGTTATGGAACGAGACTCCATCTCAAAAACAAAGAAAAGAAATGTGGGAACCTCTGATCTCAGATTCTTTAACAAAGAGAAAGAAAGAGAGAAGAGGGAGGGAGGGGAGACAGGAGAAGGGAAGAGAAAGAAACAGGCATATATGTCAGTATTTTTCTCAAGAAATAAGAAACAAGTATATCTCAAGAAAAGTTTGGAGCATTAGCATACTAAAATGCTAAGACTACTTATTCCTGTATCATGTACATTTTTGTATGTTTGAATTTATAATGTTTTAAATCTTTTTCACATTTGTTATTTTTTAAAGAATGTTGTCTTCATGTTCAAATGCCTCCCTTCCATTATGTATTCTCTGATTCCAGACAGTTATGCACACACTTAGGCATGTTTAGTTATACACCTGGTGTAGTATATTCTTTACCTCGTCTGATCTCCTTTGTCTCTTAAGTCACCTCTAATTTGTGCATTAGTTATGTCAGTATTTTTAACTTTTTTTTTTTTTTTTTTTTTTTGTGAGACAGTATTTTGCCCTGTCACATAGGCTGGAGTGCAGTGGTGCGATCATAGCTTGTTGTAGCCTCAAACTCCTCAGTTCAAGCAGTACACCTACCTCTGCTTCCTTAGTAGCTGGGACTATGGGCACACACCACCACGCCCCACTAATTTTATTTTTTTAGAGATGGGGGTCTTCTTGTGTTACTCAGGCTAGTCTCAAACTCCGGGGCTCAAGTGATCCTCCTGCATCTGTCTCCCAAAGCTCTGGGATTATAGGCATGAGCCACCATGCCTGGCAGGCAGTTGTCTCTGATAAAGCTCTTCACAAAAATGTTTCATTCAGTATGATTAATTTTGTCCCACCGCTGCAGTGAGCCATGATCATGATTGCAACCGCTGCATTCCAGCCTGGCCAATAAAGCTGAGACCCTGTCTCAAAAAATAACCCAAAAACTGGTAAAGTTTATTGAGGTATAGGAGTTCCTTATACTTTCTGGATATGAATCCTTTGTCAAGATATATACTGCATGTATCTCCCAGTTTGTGATTTACCTTTTTTATTCTCCCAGTAGTATCTTTAGATGAAAAGAAAGGCCTTAATTAATGTAGTACAGTTTATTTAAATTTTCTTTCTATGAATTAACACCTTTTATGTTGTTTAAGAAATCGTTATGAGGGTTGAGGGATGAGAAATTACTTAATGGGTATACCGTACACTGAGGTTTTACACTAAAAGCTCAGACTTCACACTTCTACACATAATAGATACATCATATATATCCATGTAAAAACATGACTTGTATTCCATAAATATATAGAAATAAGAAAAGAGAAAGAAATATTTGTCTTCTGCAAAGGTACAAAGATACTTTATTTCTTTTTTTTTCCCTAAAATTTCTTCATTTAACTTTTCTTCTTGAGATCTGCAATCCATCTGGAATTGATTTTGGTGTGTAGTGTGAGGCAGGGGTTAAAATATATATTTTTTCCATATTACTGTTTGATTCAGCATTGCTTATTGGAAAGACTGTCCTTTCCCTACTACTCTGTAATATCACCTTGGTCATAAATTAGGTGATTGTATTTGTGTGAGTTTGTTTCTAGACTCTGATGTTTCCTTGGTTACTTTGCCTTTACTCATATGATATTATACTGTCTTAATTATTATAACTGTAATAGATTCATCTATGTCTTTAGTGTTTTTTCAGGATTACCGTGGCTATTGTTAACTCCTTCAGTTTCCATATACATTGTAGAATTGTCTTGTGAGTTTCGCCTTCCAAAAAAACACATACTAAGATGTTCATTTGGTTTGCATTTAACTGATAGTTTAGAGAGAATTATTATCTTTATAACATTAATCTTCTAAACCATGAACATGGTAAATCTCCCCATTTATTTAGATCTTTAATTTCTCTTAATGTTTTATAGTTTTCAGCAGAGGTCTTGCCTGTCTTTCATTAGAGTTATTATTCCTTGGTATTTGGTGCTTTTAAATGCTAGTGATAAAGAATATTCTAAACTTTTAATATTTTATTTTCTAATTGTGCCTGGAATATGGAAATAGTTTCTTTTTTCCTCCTTCTAGAATATTGAGCTTGTATCACAGGACCTTGCTAAGTGTACTTGTCTTTAGGATTTTTTTTATGCTACAGAATCATGTTTCTACAAATAATGAGAGTTGTGTTTGTTTCTTTCCAGTCCTTTTCTCTTTTTTGCCTTATTATGCTGGCTGGGGCACCCAAATACAGTGTTGAATAGGATGATAATAGAATCCTTATTTTTGTTTTTTTCTTGGTCTTGGAGAAGTATTCAGTACTTTGTGACTGAGTGTTCTTTGCTAAGATTTTTCTCTAGATAACCTTTGTCAAATTACGGAATTTACTTACTTTCCCCAGTATACTCGGATAAATAAAATCTAGCATGATATATTATTCTTTGTATTTATTGCTGGATTTAGTTTGCTAATGTTTTAAGATTTTTTTTTTTTTAATCTGTGCTCATGAGAAGGAATACCTTATAATTTTCCATTTTTATCATGTATTTGGTGTTTTGCCATCAAGGCTATATTGGCCACATAAAAAGAAATATTTCCTTTTTTTCTTTCTCTTTTCTTTTTTTCTTTTTTTTTTTGAGATGGAGTTTTACTCTTGCTGCCCAGGCTGGAGTACAATGGCACGATCTTGGCTTACCACAACCTCTGCCTCCCAAGTTAAAGCGAGTCTCCTGCCTCAGCCTCATGAGTAGCTAAGATTACAGACATGTGCCACCATGCCCGGCTAATTTTTTATATTTTTAGTAGAGACAGGGTTTCTCCATTTTGGTCAGGCTGGTTCAGAACCCCTGACCTCAGGTGATCCACCTGCCTCAGCCTTTCAAAGTGCTGGAATTACAGGCCTGAGCCACTGTGCCTGGCCCCTCTTTTTCTATTCTCCGAAAAAGGTTACTGTCAAGTTGATTTTTTTGTTGTTGTTATATATTTATGGACAATTATGCTTTTATCCTGACACTTTTTTCTATTTTCTATTTGTAGCCACCCACATAACCTTTTATAGTGAATTGCATCCAGTGCATGCTTAGTTTGTTGAATAAATAAGCGTGTCTTTTCCTTGTTGGTTCCAGTAGCTTACTTATTTTTTTACCAGCATCAAAGTAGATCAGGTCCTTACCATGGCTGGGGTCCTGCAGTTGACATTATTGACTTCCCTTTTTATCCAGTTGTCTACCTCAGACCATCCTTTCTTTACCACCAACTAATCTTAAAAATCATTCTTTTTTTATTGTTTAAAATTGATTTTAATTTTCATTAAAGTAATACCTGTAAATATTATGGATATTAAATTGTTCTACCTGACTCGTAACAAAAAACAAGTCTACTGCTCTACTCTTCACTGCTCTCGGTTCCCTTGATTAGAAGCATTCACATTTACTTTTACTTATTTTAAAATAAACTTGCTTAAAAATGCTATTTCTTGATTTTTCAGTTTTAGACATTAAACACTGACTTCCTTTGGAAGATTAAGATTTTGCTATTTTAAACCATATGTCCCCAAAATACACATGCGAATTTTCCTTCCATCCTCCCAGCATAGTTAAACTTTCCAGAATTCAAGGTACAAGTTTGCAAATACAAAGGACCCACCTGCACTAGTGCCATGATTTTTTAAGTTCAGACTTAATTACTTATTATTTATGGCTATGAACATATTACTATTAAGTATATTTCTTTCTAAAACTTTTTTCCTCTCTGCAGTTAATACTTGTGTAATACAAATAATTGTTTCAGTAATTCAGATGCATCAAGCAATCCATTTATTTGTCTTCGAAATTAAAAGCGTATCTGATTTCTTCATCATCTTGCTACAGTCTGGATTTGCTCGATTTCTAGGCTGACTTCATTTCTCCATTAGCCTGGGTGTATACTTAGCCATTCTCCTTGGTGCTGAATCCTCTATTTCCTGGACTCTGTTTCTTCTGGTTAACTCTCTTTTCTTAATAGAGACCATTTTTAACAGCTTCTTGAAAGGGGGCTCAAAAAGTTAAAATTCTCGATCTTGTTTGAATGTTTTTTTCATCCTCATACCTGGTTGACTAATTTGTTTTCATGTTTTGTAGCTATTTTCTCTCAGAATTTTGAAAATAGAACTCCATTGTCTTTGAGCATCTTGTATCATTGGGAAGTTTGATGTGACTGTAATTCCAGTCTTTGTATGCTGTCCTTTCCTTTTTCCTCCGGAAGCTGCTAACATGTTCTTTCCCCCCAGTGCTGTAGAATTTGATCATGTGCTTTTGATTCCTCTCTTCTTTCCTTTTTTCTTCTCCTTTCCCCTCCCCGCTCCACTTCCCCTGTCTTTTCTTTCTGTTCCTTTCCCCTTCTCCTTCCCCTTCTTGCCCTTCTACTTCCTTTTTAGTCCTTTTACCCTTGATCTTGGGGAAGCATTCAATACTTTGTGATTAGATATTCTTTGCTAAGGTTTTTCTGTAGATAATTATCATCAAATTAAGGAATTTACCTTCTTTTCCCAGTTTGCTGGAATAAATAAAATTTAGCACAATACATTATTCTTTTTATTTATTGGATTTGATTTGCTAACGTTTTAAGATTTAGTCAGCCGGGCGCAGTGGCTTACACCTGTAATCCCAGCCCTTTGGGAGGCCGAGGCAGGTGGATCACCGGAGGTCAGGAGTTCAAGACCAGCCTGGCCAACATGGTGAATCCCTGTCTCTACTAAAAATACAAAAATTAGCCAGGCATCTGTAATTCCAGCTACTCAGGAGGCTGAGGCAGGAGAATTGTTTGAAACCAGAAGGTGGAGGTTGCAGTGAGCTGAGATCACACCACTATACTCTAGCCTGGGCGAAAGAGTGAAACTCCATCTCAAAAAAAAAAAAATGCTCATGCTTCCTGTTGCCCTCTTCCCCTTTCCCTTCTCGTTGAACTTCTCACTAGGTGAGTCCTTTTGGTCTAGAAATCTGTACCTCGAATTCTGGAATGTTTTCTTTTGTTATTTCTTAAATAATTTATTTTAGATTTTCTCATTTTGGAGTTTTTATTTTTATGGTGGACCTTCTTGACTGCAGCTGTATTTTTCTCACCTGTTACACATCTCTTTGTGTTTTTGTTCTACTTTCTGAGGAGAGCTTCTCAAATCTGTCTCCCAACCTTCTTGTTGCATTTTTCTTTTAAATTTTTGGATATCATGTTTTTAATTTCCAAGGGCTCTTTTTTGTTCTTTGAATGCTCTGCCCCTCTAAAGACAGCCTATTCTTTAGAGTTTTTTATTGGTAGCGATTTGTTTTCTTTTGCTTTTGTGTCTTTTTCTCCAAGTTTCTTTATTGTGTTTGTCTTGGGCTTCAAATTTAAAGATAGAGGTTTTCTTTAAATATTTGGTGATTTCTTAGCTGTCTGTTTGTATTTAGTATGAGGCATTAAAAATACTGAGAATGTTGCTGCTGTTAGTGAAAATAGGTTTCTTTTAGGGATCTAGCTGTTTTCTAATGGGTCTCCCAGGTAACATCATCTGAAGTTCTTTTCTCTTGGGTACTTCAGGGTTTTTAAGTTGTTTTCGTTTGTTGTTTTGTTTTTGTTTTTCCTTTAGGGAAACCTAGTCTCCTGCATGAGACTAAAAGGGCTACCTGATGTTCTGGGTGTTGGGAAAGGTCTCCCCAATTGGAAAGTAGGCTTTTAATTAATTCCTCTGTGACATCCCTGTCACAACATCTCTTTGCCTTTGCCAGGTATATTAAACTGTAGTTCAACCTCTTTAAAAAGGATTATCTTTAGTTTTCTGCCAGACAAAAAGAGGAGATCCAGGAGCTGTATAACTTCTTATACGTATTTTCAATTAATATTCTTCATTCAGCCCCGGCCACATAACTCTTACCTCTGTTCCATTCTAAAATACTTGGTGCTTCCAGTTCCTGAGCTAATCGATTTCATTGTTAGCTTCACTGGATGTCTGCATTTAGCTTTCTCTGGGCTCCTGTGTCATTGTCCCTGGTCTATCTGTTCTCCAGCTTCCAAAATTTATATAACTTTCCTGCTCTCTTCTGTTCTTCTGCCTTCTTTTTCCTTATGGGTTTATACCTTAAAAATTACGTTCTTTTTATTTCTTCCTTTCTTTTATCTTTTTTTTTTTTTTTTTTTTTTTTTTTTTGAGACAGAGTCTGACTCTGTCACTCAGGCTGGAGTGCAGTGGCATGATCTTGGCTCACTAGAGCCTTGACTTCCCTGGCTCAAGCAATTCTCCCACCTCAGCCTCTTGAGTAGCTGGGACTACAGGCGCATACCATCATGCCTGGCTAACTTTTGTAATTTTTGTAGAGATGGCATTTTAGCATGTTGCCCAGGCTGATTTCGAACTCCTAGGCTCAAGTGATCTTTCTGCCTCATCCTCCCAAATTGCTGAGATTACAGGTGTTTGCTACTGCACCCGGCCTAAAATTTTTTAAATCCACCATGTTAGTAGAGTTTTAAGAGGGAATGTAAGTAAACTTGTACTTAGCCTACAATGGATCTGAATGTTGACTGAGGCAGTGCCTTCCCATCTGGAATATCTCCTCTCTCCACTTTTCTTCATTTATTAAAAGTTGGCATTATGCTTTCCTCTTTCCTGGAACTTTCCTTGGTATTTCCAAAATGCCAGCCAATGTCTTTCTTTGACTGAACTTACGACTTAGGAACCATGAAAACTTTCTATAAATATTTGAAGGACTGTTATGAAAAAGACAGAAAAAAAGTATTTTTTCTTTTTGAGTGAGGGAGAACGTATGAATAATGCAGGGCGGGGGGTATGAACACAGATTTTAGCCCACTGTATAAAAGAACTTTCACTATCTAACAATAGCAGAAGTTGCCTCTTTAGAGTCTGGACGGCTCTGTGTCTGGGATGATTGGAAATAATTCTTACCTTGGGATGAGTCAGTCATTTTTTCTGTGTTCTGAGAAGCCAAGTGGGGTGAGAGCAAAGCTGTTATTCATAGATGCCTCAGGTGTACTCAGAACTCTGAGTTCACCACCACTGCTCCTCCAGAGAAGTGCCATTTTTATCTGTTGTATATATAATTTAGGGTTTTTCAAACTACCGTTCTAAGTTCTTTTCTGCATTTCTATTAACAAGATTATTTACTGCATATTGGGCACTTACTTGCCCTTGGTTCCACAACAATGTCTAGTTTATGACCTATTTTCTAGTGTCTGAATGCCTTAGCATGATTTTTAAGTTTTGTGGTAGAGAGCTTATTTTTTCTTTTCTATACTTTTAGAATCTAACTGGTAGGAAATAATTATCAAAAGTATAACATGACCCACATAAATAGTTTCTGTTGAATTTTCTCCTTTTCCAAGGTGCTAACCGGATAGTACTAGAAGACTCCAATATCTTGCAGCCTGTGGGACTTACTGTGTTTGAAAACTGGCTCTATTGGATTGATAAACAGCAGCAAATGATTGAAAAAATTGACATGACTGGTCGAGAGGGTAGAACCAAAGTCCAGGCTCGAATTGCCCAGCTTAGTGACATTCATGCAGTAAAGGAGCTGAACCTTCAAGAATATAGTAAGTGTTAATGGGATAAAGCTAATTGGAGGACTTGTGTGTCGTAAGAAATTAATATGTACATTTTTGTATATTTTTAAACTCTTTTTCCTTTAAGATTTTCATGCACTTGTAGTTTTGCTTTTTTTTTTCTTTTTTTTTGAGGTGGCATCTTGCTCTGCTCTGTGGCCCAGGCTGGAGTGCAGTGGCACGATCTTGGCTCACTGCAGTCTCTGCCTCCTGGACTCAAGCGATTCTTGAACCCAGTGTCTGAGTCTCCAGAGTAGCTGGGATTACAGATGTGTGCCACCATGCCCGGCTAATTTTTGTTTTCTTTTTTTTTTTTTTTTTTTTTTTTTTTGTATTTTTAGTAGAGGCAGGGTTTCACCACGTTGGCCAGGCTGTTCTCGAACACCTGACCTCAAGTGATCCACTTGTCTCAGCCTTCCAAAGTGCTGGGATTACAGGCATGATCCCCCATGCCCAGCGTCTTCATGCTTTTAAAACCTTATGTCAGACTCACCCAGGAGCTTTTCCAAATTAAACATAATCTCATAAACCAGAAATAGGGGAAAGGCATAGTATTGCTCATTAAAAAAGAATATTTCCTGGTACGACAGTGACTGCTTATCATGCCTTGTTTTTCTCTCCTTCATTTCCTTTGAGAATACTGATAATATAAAGCATGTATTTCTTTTCTTCCCTCTCTATGCTTCTCCCATAGCTTGAAAAAAAAAATAAAAATTATATGATGATGAATATAGTTATAATGGGTTAACATTATTCTTAAGCAAAACAAACTAAAAATTAGTGTGTAAACATAGAGGAGACTGTTTAATCAGTAAACATTTGTTTTTTTTCCCCCCTCCTTTTGGAGAAATATTTCGATTCCCAGCTTAGAAAAATAGCCATCTTCATGAGCCCCCGGGGGAAAAAAAGAGAGAGAAAAGTAGCCACAAATATTTTATTTTATTTTTGAAAATGGCTAGTCATCTTGGCCTAGTTCTTAATTAGTATCTGTCATCAAAATTGCCCTCATAATAGAGAGGAATAAATGAGTTTATATATGCAAAATGTTTTTTAAAAAATACCATCCTAGCAGTCACTACTGTCAGTCTTACATGATGATACCAGGAATGCCAATGTTAAATTGAGTACTAGAAAGAGAATTACTGAAATTCTGTAACTTCTCAGCTCAGTGCTTTTAAGTTGAATCTAAGCATGAAAGGAGAATGAGGAAACAGGAGTACCCTTGGATAAGTGTCCATTATGTTGCTGTGGTTCATGGATTAGAAGTAAAGTTACAAGTATTTGAGAATTAGAAAGTTAAAATTGTTGTCGTTTTGTGGTATGACTTGTAACTCAGGCTGAACGTTTAGTGGAAGTATGTTAATGACATCATACCTAAGTTCTTTTTCAGTTGATATATGAATATTTTATTACGGAAAATCTCAATGAGTTTTTAGAATGTTAAGGGAGAAGTTTTTAATGTAACTCAATATTTAAATATGATGGTATATTTGGTAAATCATTTTTGAAATTTTTCTCTTTTTTTTTTGAGATGGAGTCTCACTTTGTCACCCAGGCTCGAGTGCAGTGGCATGATCTTGGCTCACTGCAACCTCCACCTCCCAGGTTCAAGCGATTCTTCTGCCTCAGCCTCCGAAGTAGCTGGGACTACAGGCGTGTGCCACCATGCCCAGCTAAGTTTTCTATTTTTAGTAGAGATGGCGTTTCACCGTATTGACCAGGCTGGTCTTGAACTCCTGACCTTGTGATCCGCCTGCCTCAGCCTCCCAAAATGCTGAGATTACAGGTGTGAGCCACCAAAATTTCTAATGTTAAAGAGAATAGGTTTTTTGTTTATCAAAAATATAGTGGAATTAAAGGTTGAGAAACACTGCTACAAAGGCCATATATTCTATAAAATGTGTGATGTCTGTTTTGGACAGTATGCTCATTTGTAGATAGCTGACTCCCCCAGTCTCATTAAGACAAACTGAAGCAGGACCAATGTTACTGTGGAAGAGAGTCGAATAATAAATAGTGGCTTATATTAGATGTTCATATTTTGCGATGACAAATGTCAAGTTGCTTTTAACACAAGCTAAATAGAAAATTCCAAACAATGATTCTTTAAAAATACAACTTGTGAAACAGACTTTGACAAGTTGCCTAAGTTATATTTAACTTAGCCCACGCATGAGGAAGTTAGACATTTATAGTATTAAAAGTTACCTTTTGCAATTGACTAAGCAAATAATTTTATCTGTTTCTGAATTGTTCAGTTACATGTGCCTTTTAAGTTTTTTCTTCTAATGACTCTAATTCTCAATAGATTCCTCATTAAGATACACTTTTTGACTGAAATTGTCTTCTAGAAATACGGATTTTTCTGAGTTAAAATCTTTAACGTAGGAGAATTCTTATATTTTAAATAGATTCATATTCAAGTTTCAGCATTCTCCTTAGCAGTTTTTTAGTTTTAGTTTCAGCAAACAGCTTTTCATATTCACAAAAATTAACTTGAGCTTTACCCTTACCTTGCTTAAAATATTATATATATAAATATTTAAAGATAGTGGTTAGATAAAAGTAATTTCTTGTAGGTTGTATAGAGATTGAGTAAAGAATCATACTGTGTGGAAATAAAAGTCCAAGCTGCACCAGGCTGGCCAACATGGTGAAATTCCATCTTTACTAAAAATACAAAAAATTGGCTGGGTGTGGTGGTGCTTGCTTGCAATCCCAGCTACTCAGGAGGCTGAGGCAGGAGAATTGCTTAAACCTGGGAGGCAGAGTTTGCAGTGAGCTAAGATCGTGCCAGTGTACTTCAGCCTGGATGACAGAGTGAGACTCTATCTCAAAAATAACAATAATGATGATGATAAAAGTTTTTTTAAAAAGTCCAAGCTGATTATACATTTGATTTTCATAAATAGTTTTGACAGGGTTGTCCCTCTTTCTCTTCTCCCCTCCCCCTCCTCTCCCCTCTTTTCCCTTCCTCTCCCCATCCTCACCTCTTCTCTTTGCAGGACAGCACCCTTGTGCTCAGGATAATGGTGGCTGTTCACATATTTGTCTTGTAAAGGGGGATGGTACTACAAGGTGTTCTTGCCCCGTGCACCTGGTTCTGCTTCAAGATGAGCTATCATGTGGAGGTAAATATGTTGTAATTTTCTTGTGCAACACTAAATGCAAACATATTTCATGTCTCAAGCTTAGACTTCTATAACTAGGCATTGTAGTTGCTTTGTCTACTAACTTAATTGGTTACTTGTATTCCATTCGTTTGTACTATACTAGGCTTTTCTATTATTATTCTCTGCCCCCGTCCAGCCTCATAATCATCATTTTACTGTTTCTTTGACTTTTTTACACTCCACATAAAAGTGAGATCATGCCGTATTTGTCTTTCTATGCCTAGCTTATTTCACTTGACGGGATGTCTTCCATGTTCATCTTTTGTTGCAAATGACAGGATTCCCTTCCTTTTTTGACTGAATAGTATTTCACTGCGTATATATTACCACATTTTTCAGCCTGTGAATGAGTGTGTTTCCTAATACTAAAGTAGCTTCCCCCCCTCCCAAAAGATAACAAAATGAATTAATTCTACCTCCTATAATCTCCCTCCACTAAATTCTAGATTCTCTAAGTTTATGTGTCATTATTGGGAATGCGTCTGATGGAAAGAATATTCTTTTGTTCAAATCCATCAGCGAATTCCCATTATTTCTTTATCTGGTAAAAAATGATTTCTAAAAAGTTATCAGTGAGTATAGTGATACTGTTGTAGTAAAATTGGTTTAGTTACTCAGCGGGTATAACAAATAGGTACATTGGTTTGTTAAATCATAGTATGATGGTATCAGGCACTACAGTAGTATTTATACTCTTAATTCAGATATCTTCCTTTTGGGGATAACTAAGTAAATTCAACTGAAGGAAAAAGACTGCATCGTACTATTGTCTACAGTGGCAGAAATTTTTAAACTAATTTCTAATGATACGAAAATTACTGAGTAAGATAACTGAGTTTATACAGCTAATCAATGTTACAGTCATGAAGTTGATATAAAAATATGTTGCCAAAATGATGACAACTACAGAAAATATACATTTCTTTAAACAAATATTGAAAGAGGATATGCATTCAGTGTATAAAAATCGTTGATCAAGTGGGTGGGATTACAAGTAAATTTTATTCTTTGAACTGTAAGTTTTTTAAAAACATGTAATGTGTGTATTCAGTAGCAGCTATGAGCACCGTGCTTGGGCTGTAGGGGATTTGAAGATCTTTGAGATAGCATACAGTCTAGTCAGGGAAATCATGTGTACAGTAAAACTTAAGTGCTGGTACTTGAAATTTTTAAAAATAGGAATTGCACAATGTGAATGTACTTAATGTCATTGAGCTATACACTTTAAAGTGGTTGAATTGGTAAATTTTATGTTTACTCTACCACAATAAAAAAAAATAGCATGTGTTTCCCTATCAGAGTGCTAGACTGTTACTTTAAGGCAAGTCCTAGAAAAATTTCTCTTTATGTTAATGATAACATGGTTAAACTGAGTCAAGGATCTCATCTTGCAGTTTGAAAATATCTTTTAAGGAGCCTTTTTCTTGTTTGCACATTTAGCAATTATTTTTAATGTATTTATTAAAATGACTTTCGACAGATGTATACAACTGTGTTTCTAACACCCAAATCAAGATTTAGAACAATGCTATTAAGAAAAGTACCCTCCTGCCCCTAAACAGTCACTTCTTTTCTAGAAGTAGCCACTGTTTTGATTTTTATCCCCATAGATTAGTTTTGCCTATTCTTAAACTTTATATAAATGAAATTGTGTTGTATGTGCTCTTTTGAGTCTGAATTCTCTTGCTTAATATATTTTTGAGATTCAGTCATACAGTTGAGTATATCTGTAGTTTTCCCTTTTTATAGTTGAATTGTATTTTATCATTTAATATTACAATTTATTACTCTCCTTTGAGGGATATTTTCATTGTTTTAAATCTGTTGTTGTTAAAAATAAAACTGGAGCCAGGCACAGTGGTGCATGTCTGTAATCCTAGTTACTCAGGAGACTGAGGTGGGAGGAATGTTTGAGCCCAAGCGTTCAAGGCCAGCCTGGGAAACATAGAGGGACTCCCTCCTCTTAATAAAACTGCAATAACCATTTGTGTACATGTCCTTTTTTTTTTTTTTTTTTGTAATTTAATATTGATTCTACAGTAGAAATACGTGAAATAGAAAATCTAAATTTTTCTGCCTGATTTTCAAAATGTGATTTCATTTGAGCTGTCTTACCTATTCATCTTATTTTGTATTCTTCCCAAATGGCTAGTTTTATTTTTGTTTGGCTGTTTGGAATTTGAGGGTCACTATGGCATGTCCTGTTTTGTTTTGCTTCTGTGGCTTTACTTTAGGTAATTCAAGGACTTCTTTCTCTTTGATGCCTATCCTAAATTTTACTAATTTTCTAAGGTGTAGCCAGTCTTTCCATGGTCTAGGAAACCTTCACTAGCTGTTACTGTTCTTTTCTTTCTCTGCATAGCAGCACTTGTTACCACAGTGTATTAGGCCATTCTTGAATTGCTATAAATACCTGAGGCTGGATAATTTATAAAGAAAATGTTTAATTGGCTCTGCCATTTATTGCTAGCTCTTTTGCTGCCAGCTGTATTGCCCAGGGTCTGGATTGGCCTCAGGAAACTTGGGGGAGCAGGCAGGTTACGTGACAAAAGAGGGAACAAGAGAGTGGCCAGAGGGAATGCCACACACTTTTAAACAACCAAGTCTCCCAAGAACTCATTTACTGTCAGGAGGACAGCACCCCCATGACCCAAACAGCTCCTACCAGGCCTCACTTCCAACATTGGGGATTACATTTCAGCATGAGGTTTGGGGGACAAATATCCAAACTATATCACACAGTTTGCATGACATGCAGTTCAAACTTGTGTCCTTTGTTTTATGTTTGTTAGTTTCTTTCTATCCTCAACAAAATTGAAAGCTCTTTAAGGACATGGATATATTTTATATATTTTAATCCTCCACACAGTGTAGATGGTATAGTGCTGAATACATAATAGGCTTCTAGAAAATAATCCCTAAAATTCCCCATATAAAATGTTCGCCTGTAATCTGTAATGTTCTCTGTTGTAAAGGTACAGGGTTTTCTGACCCTTGGTCATATCATAAAGTTATGCGTTCTCTAGGCGATTCACTAACGGACAAGTGTAAATTACTACTGTATAATTTACCTGTCAGTCATTCTTTCAGGTTAAAATGACATTCCATTTGAGTTGCATTTACAACTCCAAACAAATGCTTTCCCATTAGAAACTGTCCTGGTTAGGTTTGCAACATGAGCTTTATGCATAACTGCCATTTAATTGATCAGAATATTGAAGAGGCATACACTTGGGTTGATTTTAATATAGTTAATATTTCTTATTGATTCATCACTGACATTCTTAAATGAAGTTGGCCTTTTTGTGTGTTTGTTTAAACTGTGCATGTGTGGCTGTATACAGCATAGTGATTACTAATTCAGTTTGTTGTCATTTCCCTGCATCTTCTAAGGTACCAAGTTTTATTCAGTATTCCTTTTGTAGCATCAGTGCAAAGAAAGCAAAAAAAGCGATGACATCTTAATGTTATTATAAAAATAGTTTTTACCTAGTGGGTCTCCTGAAAGAGGCCTCAGGAACCGCAAGGGGTTCATGGACTATCCTTTGAAAATGTTAGAGCTAGAAAACTTATGAGTGCTAGGCTAACTTTAAAATATTTGGTATTTATAGTGATGATTCCTAGGTTATATGTGAGAGTGTAATGGATTGCAAATATTATCGTGTTTGGATTACAATAAATGAGAAAACTTTTGCCTTATAGTTTTGCAGTGAATCTAAAGGAAGTAATGTGAAAACTTTTATTTCTTCTCTGATTAGATGAGATAGTTTATAAATCATATTTATTATAAAGTATTTTGTGTATGTTAATTATTAAATGAGCTTCACTCAGGTGTGTGTTTATACTTCTGTGTGATCATGATTGTGTTTTTGTCACTCCCCTTCCCCTTGTTCATTTGAAGAACCCCCAACATGTTCTCCTCAGCAGTTTACTTGTTTCACGGGGGAAATTGACTGTATCCCCGTGGCTTGGCGATGCGATGGGTTTACTGAATGTGAAGACCACAGTGACGAACTCAATTGTCCCGTGTGCTCAGAGTCCCAGTTCCAGTGTGCCAGTGGGCAGTGTATTGATGGTGCCCTCCGGTGCAACGGAGATGCAAACTGCCAGGACAAATCAGATGAGAAGAACTGTGAAGGTATACAGAATTCCTCAGTACCTCAGCATGCAATTCTTTTTTCCCATTCAGTTATTTAAAATGCAGTGTTACTTGGCCTAGTGTCAGTTGGGGTTTTTCAAGTACATATGACGGTATCACTTCTGATCGTAGTACCATGTTCCATTATTATTGTTTTAATTCACTTTATATGTGTAAGATTTATACAAATTAATAAGCTTTGAAAATTGGGATATTGAACTAAAAGATATTAGGCCTTCACGATTTAAAAATAGTCCCTGTTTCCAATGAGCTCTGAATTAGTGGATTTATTAATTACAATCTAACATATTATATATTCTTCACTTTCTCTTACTAACCTTTCCCATGGTAAAAACAAACCAGCCAAGTTCTCTAGAATTATTTAATGACACGGAATTTAATGTAAAGAATAAAACAGGAAATTTCCTGCTGGATTTTTTTTCCCACTCTTTTTTTTTTCTTTCTCAACCAGTGGAACTCCAGAGAATAATATTTAAGTTACAGCTAAAAGTCTAATTTGTTTTTCATTTGTATTCAGAAAGCACCTTCTGACTCTTGCCAGAGTTTGATTTTACATGATATTAAAAATAAGAAAACTATTTACATTTTTTTCCCAGTGCTTTGTTTAATTGATCAGTTCCGCTGTGCCAATGGTCAGTGCATTGGAAAGCACAAGAAGTGTGATCATAATGTGGATTGTAGTGACAAATCAGATGAACTGGATTGTTGTAAGTAGGACTGAGATCTATAAATTACTCTTAACAGAGAATTTAAACAATTTTTTTCTTATGTGTGAGGTTTACTTATCAAGATTTCCTAAGTAATAAGTATTAATATTAAGCTAATTATTTGTGCAAAGGATTTTTTATGTTTTGCTTTCAGTATTCTTTAAGCATAGCCATTTTATTATGCACAGAAACATTTAGTAAAGCACTAGAAAAGAATATTATTTTACTATAGCACTAGAAAAGAATAAATATTATTTTACTACGGCCAAAGTTACAAAATTCTCAAATCATTTAGATACATAGAAATCAGCAGGGCGTGTTAGCTCACTCCTGTAATCCCAGCACTTCGGAAGTCCAGGTCAGTGGATCACTTGAGGTCAGGAGTGGGACACCAGCCTGGCCAACATGGTGAAACCCTGTCTCTGCTAAAAGTACGAAAATTAGCTGGGTGTGGTGGCACATGCCTGTAGTCCCAGCTACTGGGAGGCTGAAGCAGGAGAATGGCTTGAACCTGGAAGGTGGAGGTTGCAGTGAGCTGAGATCACACCATTGCTCTCTAGCTTGGGCGACAGAGCGAGACTCCATCTCCAAAAAAAAAAAAGAAATCAATTGGTCTGAACTTAGTGAATGTTAGTACATGTTTAACTGTATTCCATTGTTGTCTTGAAGTACTTTAATCAGTTTCTCATTGGTCAAAAGATTTTAAGAGCTTTCTTAAAATGCAGCCTGAAGACAAGCCAATGTATACCCCTAAACTTAGGGACCCTTGGCTGAATAGCCTATAGTTTCTTCAAAGTTCATAACTTGTTGAGTGCCCTAAAACAGTGGTCCCAATTATTTTGGTACCAGGGACCTGTTTTGTGGAAGACAGTTTTTTCCAAGTGGAGATGGATAATGGTTTTGGGATGAAACTGTTCCACCTCAGATCATCAGGCATTAGATTCTCATAAGGAGCATGCAGCCTAGATCTCTCAAATGCGCAGTTCACAATAGGGTTCATGCTCCTGTGAGAATTGAATGCCACCACTGATCTGACAGAAGATGGAGCTCAGGCAGTAATGCTTTCTGGTCTGCCGCTTGTCTCCTGCTTTGTGGCCCAGTTCCTAACAGGCCGTGGACTGGTACCGGTCCATGGCCAGGGGTTTAGAGATCCCTGCTGTAACATATAATATATCCCAAATTGATCAACTTAATTCTGAATGGAATTCAGCATAAGTCAGGTCTACCCTGTCAAATGTATTTGATAGAATTTAGAAAGGATTCGTTTAAAAATTCTTTAACCTGTAATGAGAACTTTAAGCTGGTATTTTTACAGACTTCAAGTGGGACTACTCAATAAGACTTAGACTCCACCACACCTGGCTAATTTTTTGTATTTTTAGTAGAGACGGTATTTTGCCATGTTGCCCAGGCTGGTCTCAAACTCCTGAGCTTAAGCAGTCCACCCACCTCAGCCTGCCAAGTGCTGGAATTACAGGTCTTCATTTTCAAAATGAAGAGAATGATATTTAGCCTAAAAAACACATAGTGCAGCTCATAGTACATATATTGATGACAGAGTGTGATAAGTGCTGTCATAGAAATCTGCACAGGTAGCAGTGGAAATGAGAGAGTAGTCGGCTTTTTAGAGACAAAGATGGACTTGATCAAGGAAGGCATTTTAGAAGAATGGCATTTAAAATTGAGTGTTGTGCTGGGCCCGGTGACTCATGCCTATAATCCCAGCACTTTGGGAGGCCGAGGTGGGTGGATCATGAGGTTAGGAGTTCAAGACCATCCTGACCTTGTATTTTTAGTAGAAACCCCCGTCTCTACTAAAAAATACAAAAATTAGCTGGGTGTGGTGGCAGGTGCCTGTAATCTTAGTGTCCCAGGAGGCCAAGGCAGGAGAGTTGTTTGAACCTGGGAATCGGAGGTTGAAGTGAGCCCAGATTGCACCTTTGCACTCTAGCCTGGGTGAAAGGGCAAGACTTGTCTCAAAAAAAAAAAAAAAAAAAAAAAGATTGAGTGTAGATCAATGAATAGTATTCATTATGCAGATAAGTGGAGAAATTGCATTTTTGGCAGAGGGAATATTCAAAAGCAGAAAAGAGTGAAATAGGCACCTTTGGGAAATTTCATGTAATGGGACTGCTAAAATACAGGCTCTGTTGAGGGGTGTCAGTGAGAGAGAACACAGGTAAAGGGATAATCATGGAGGACTGTGTTTTTCTTCTAAAGAGCCTAGACAGTATTAACAATGGAGAGTCACTGAAATTTTCAAGAGAAAGACTAGCATGGTTAAGCCGTACAGAAGCTATAAAGGCAGTGGGTTGGAGGTGATAAGCTTTTAGGCAGGGAAATCTGTTAGATTGGTTGCTTTCAAATTTCTTTTGACCACATCAAGAGGAATGCAAAGATGTGAGCTCATGCATTAAAGAAAAGTGTCATACAACACTTATTTACCCATATTACATAGAATGCATTCTGACACTTTGTTTTTTTTTAAAGCTGCTTGTAACCCACTAAATCATTCTCACCGTTTGTGAATGACTTGCAGCCTATAATTTAAAAAGGAAGCTATTAGAGTTCAGGCAGAAGATGATAAAGATCTAAATCATGAGGAGGAGTAGTGGGGGTGGCAAGGAGAGATTTCAGAGTTATTTCAGAAGTAGAATAAAGAGGATTTGGTAACCACTTAGATACAGCTGGTAAGTTTAAGTTGGCCCACAGGTACTTAATTGAGTGACGGGAGTCATTAAGTTGGATATATAACAGGAAGTGAAAACTAAAGTACCATACTACATCTTGGCTGCAGATGTAATGTTTGATTGATGCAATGTCTAATTTAAGTTAAATTTAAGTTAGGCATGTACTTTGCCACAAGCCCCATCACTTTTTATTATCTTATACTAGATGACTTCATTTATGGTCTCTTTATGCCTGAAATCTAGGGGAAATGACTGATGATGGTGACAGTGAGTTCAGTTTCTGATATGTTGCCTGAGAGATACTCATGGAATATCCCATTGAAGCTCTTCAGGAAGTTGATTATAAGGATCTGTGGTGCAGAAGAGAGATTTGGTGCTCTTCAGTTTATTGATGATAATTAAAGCTGTGGCAGTAGATGGAATCTCCCAGGAAAATAGTAGGTGATAGATAGAAATCCATCTGGAAAACACCTGCACTTCAGATGCAGGCAGAAAAGAATGAAGCCAACAAAGGAAGCAGATGAATAATAATCAGAAATAGTAAAATTAAGAGAATGATGTCTTGGAAGGATATTGGTCAGACTTTTTTTCTTAACACAGGAGCCAGCAGTATTACGTAAAGAGGACAGTGAAATGAAGAATATATTGAGTTTGGCAAAAAGGAGAACTTTGACCTTTGCCAGAACAGTTTCGGTGCAGTGGTGAGGGTGGAAGCCTGATTTCAGGGAGTTAACGGTGTGACCCAAAGATTTGGAATTGAGAATAGTGAATGTAAACTTTTCTTTTTTGAAGCTTGGCATTGCAAAGGAATATTAAGGCACTAGAAAGGAATGAAAAGATGAGATGGTTGCTCTTAAGGACTAAAGAGAGTCTATGCCGCAGATTTCAGGGACTAAGTTTGTAAATGATAATCCCTATATATTATGTAACTTAGAGATGTCATTTTCACACATTTCTTTCATATAATCTGTTAGAGGATGAGTTTAGCTATATGAATAGAAGATTTGAGGTAAGATGAAGCAAGAGAAAGTTTTTTTTTTAAAGAATCTACAACTGTGAGATATAATTTAACTTCAGAATGGAAGAATTTTTCCTCTGAATAGAAAGAGTAATGCTTTAATTTCGACTAGAATACTATCTAGAGTCTATTTGAAATCAGATTACTATGAGTTTAAACAATTTCCCTCTACCTCTGATATTGATGACCACTGCTTCTTTAAGGGATCCAGTGAAGGTGAATCCCTGAGGCAATGTCCTTTTCTGGCAATCTGGCCTTTCTTTATGAGTCCTCCGGTAATCAAGTATTAAAGAAGTTACGTTCCTTCCTTCGTCTCAGGCAGCCATACAGCCTGAAGGCAGCAGCATAGGAGATTTGAGAACTAAGGCTCATCTTTAGTTTCCATTGTCCATTCATTAGGCCTAAATGTCACTATTCAAATCTAAAATCTAACATGTGCTTAGAGTTGATTTTGGCTTCTTCACCATTCCAGGTAAAACATTTGATGACTTTTCTAGGTTTATCCTTTCTGACTGTAAATTTTTTCCTGAAATCTTGAAATAACGTTAATTTTCATAGTATACAGAATGAAGTAGAATGGATTTTGTGTACTTATTTAAAGCTTCTTAATGGTGTTTAAATCTGTACTTCATTTACCATCTTTGTTTCTATCCATTTACAATTACACTTTCCAACCTATTTTATTTCTGCCTTCACTTAAGGGTAGTTCACTTTGATTCCTAATGATGACATTTATTCCATATGTCCTTGGGGCATGGTGTATATTCATAAAAAAGAAAAGTGTTTATGAATTATCTTCATTAGGCTTATATCTTTATATCCTATCAGCAAGCCCTTTTTTTGATTACTATTTTGAATATACAGTTGTTTTTTCATAAAATAACCATACTGCATTCTTCATTTTAGATCCAACTGAAGAACCAGCACCGCAGGCCACCAATACAGTCGGTTCTGTTATTGGAGTAATTGTCACCATTTTTGTGTCTGGAACCATATACTTTATCTGCCAGAGGATGTTGTGTCCACGTATGAAAGGAGATGGGGAAACCATGACTAATGACTATGTAGTTCATGGACCAGCTTCTGTGCCTCTTGGTTATGTGCCACACCCAAGTTCTTTGTCAGGATCTCTTCCAGGTGAGTCAGGACGGATCCATTCAGAATCAAGTCTTGGTCCTGCAAGACTGCCAAGTTTCCATTATGGGAAAGAATACTACCTAGAGTCTATTTGAAACCAGATTACTCTGAGTTTAAACAATTCTAAGAACAGATGTTCTTTTTTACTGTTAGTACCTTTTCTTTACACAGAAGGCCTTAGATATGGTTTGGTAGAAATTGCCAGAGCATATAAAGCAAATACATATGCAAGTGGTAAGCCTTTCTGACTGCAATTCTAGATGCATGCTACGGAAGGTGAATCAGCCAGTCATTTAGTGAAAGAGTTACAAACCACAGTTTCTTTAAGTTTACCACCAGGGAACTCTAGTACTGTGGAGCCCAGGAATAAAAGGAGGCCAAAAATTATGTTAAGATTCCTGTCAGCCAACAAAGATTTGTAAATAGCTGGGTGATAGAAGGGAGGAATATGTCTTATGTTTTCTCCTGAATTCATGTGCTAACAGGGAACTAGGGCTAGTTTAGGCATAACTGAGGAGCCAGAAGTTCTACACTTAAGTAGGCCATATTGCTGTAGGGAAGTAGCTTTCTATTTAATGTTTTCTAGTGCTCTTAGTTAAAAGAAGCCTTTCTTTTAATGAATATGGAGAAAGAGGTGCCTTGCAAAAGCCCTCTAAAAATAGGAACTTACTATGGGTGTAACTCCTAAGTAGATAAACCTGGTTTTTAAACTGTTAATGGTAACGTTTCTTTGTTGCCATACCTGTTTTCAGTTAGTAGAATTTGGGAAGCTACTTAGAAAAATTAGAATTTCTTCTTTAGCATTGGTAGTTTTGATAGTAGCAATATTTATATTCATTAGATGAAGAAATACTCTTTCGTATGTTGTTTGTGCTCTAAAAAGTGGTTTTTTTTTCTTTTGTTTTCTTTTGAGCATGTCAGTTATTTAATATACCCTGCTTCACAACCTCCGCCCTTTACAATTCTTTCAAATCCTCCAAGGGGTTGAAAACCCCTTATTTTATTTTATTTTATTTTATTTTTTTTTGAGACGGAGTTTCACTCTTGTTACCCAGGCTGGAGTGCAATGGCGCGATCTCGGCTCACCGCAACCTCCGCCTCCTGGGCTCAGGCAATTCTCCCGCCTCAGCCTCCTGAGTAGCTGGGATTACAGGCACGCGCCACCATGCCCAGCTAATTTTTGTATTTTTAGTAGAGACGGGGTTTCACCATGTTGACCAGGATGGTCTCGATCTCTCGACCTCGTGATCCACTCGCCTCGGCCTCCCAAAGTGCTGGGATTACAGGCTTGAGCCACCATGCCCGGCCTGAAAACCCCTTATTTTAAATAGCCCTGCTTCTACCAGGAAAGGGAGAAGGTGGAATCTATTCTTGGTCTTGTTCTAGGCTAGCTAGAGAATGTTGATTTCCTTTCTCCATTAAATGTTTTCAATTATTAGGAAAAGAGAGTGTACGTTATTCTAAAATCAGACTACTTGACTGTTGATATTTGTATTCCTACTGTTGAATAAAATTGCTTCATACATTTTTATACATCTTATTCATCTTCAGTTTTTATCCTCCTTTTATTTTAGGAATGTCTCGAGGTAAATCAATGATAAGCTCCCTCAGTATCATGGGGGGTAGCAGTGGACCCCCCTATGATAGAGCTCATGTTACAGGAGCATCATCAAGCAGTTCTTCAAGCACCAAAGGCACTTACTTCCCCGCAGTAAGTAGTCTGTTTTCCTTCGAATGCAACATACATAGGATCTTAGATATTTTAACTCATTTAAATGTGGGTGATCAGTGATGGTAATGTAAAAGTAGTTTTTGAATCTAAAATTTAGGCATAAAAGGCTCAAAGAAGAATTTCATCCCCCCCCACCATGCTTTTAAATTTTTCTTATAAGTTTACTGTGTAATAACTAGAATATTTAAAAGCGTTGGGTATTAATTTCACATTTCAAGGAAAAGTAGAACTGCTGAATGGTACCTCTTGAGGGATTAGGGCCTTCATTTTATGACCTCCCAAAAGAGGAAGCACACCTGGAATTTCTCCTAAATTATTTTTCTCTAAATACTTACAATTTTAAAAAACCAGAACCTAGCTGAGCTGACCATAAACCAATGATTTGTAGGTTACAGATTTTCTTTTTTGTCACTTTGCACTTTTTAGCCATGATGAAGTCTTAGGGAATGGGGAAGCCACAATCTTAAAGTACTGTTTGAGGTCAGTTCTTTGGAAAAGACAAATTGTGCTAATAGTGGATTGTAAAGGAACACTAATAGAGATGAAGGCAGAAAAGTTGAAAGAAAGTCTAATAGTTTCTATCTGGAGTGGACTGTTGTTATTTTAATATTTTAATTATTTTTTCTTTTAGATTTTGAACCCTCCACCATCCCCAGCTACAGAACGATCACATTACACTATGGAATTTGGATATTCTTCAAACAGTCCTTCTACTCATAGGTCATACAGGTAATACACATCCTCCTCTAAAATAAGTTGCAGTATTTATTAGAAAGTATTTTAGTTGTGGACTTGATGTAGCCCCAAGTGAGTAGACGATGGTCACTAGAGTGAGACTAGGCATCTTGTCTTGGTAGTACTGACATTGCCTCTACCACAAATCCTTTCCCTTCAGGGCGATACACATATTTTTTTGAGATGGAGTTTCGCTCTTGTTGCCCAGGCTGGAGTGTAATGGCACTATCTCAGCTCATTACAACCACTGCCACCCAGGTTCAAGCAATTCTCTGCCACATCCTCCCAAGTAACTGGGATTACAGGCACGTACTACCATGCCCAGTTAATTTTTGCATTTTTAGTAGAGGTGGGGTTTCACCATGTTGGCCAGGCTGATCTCAAACTCTTCATCTCAGGTGATACCCTCGTTGGCCTCCCAAAGTGCTGGAATTACAGGCATGAGCCACCATGCCTGGCCAATACATTTTTTTTAAAGAGAGTCACAAATGCTGGCTTTTAGAATAATAAAATATAGCCGCAGGCTTTGACAGTATTCCAAGGAGGAGTTGCCCACCAAAGTGACTGGTTTAAAATAGTTAGATATTCTAAGAATGAAATATTGGGATAAGATTGGTTCATAGAATTTAGAGTTTAAGACAGTAACATAGTAAGAACACAGAATTTTAGAAAAGTTGAGAGAAATGTAAGTTCAGCCATTGCTTACATATGTTATTGCAATCTGGAGTGAAAGATTTCTCATATAGTTGCTTGGAATAAAGATGGAAATAAGTGTATTTATAAGCCAAAAAGGGGGAAATTATTCCGTTTTGCTAATTTATGAGTCTATAAAGTGTGTTGAGCCGGTCAAGTACTGTTGTGTCAGCTTCCACTTCTGTGTTCCTTGAAGGGCCAACAGACCATAAGTAGCTTGAGAGTTTCTTTCTAAACACTGAAGTGTCCAGTCTAGATAATCTTTTCTGTCTTCTATCTTCTCTAGATAATCTCCTATTATCTTTCCTAGCATTTCGGTCAGATTGGCCTTACAGGACCTCACCCATGTATAGAAATAAAGTAGAAACTACTTACAGTATTTCACTCTGAATTCTCATTTCAGTTTAGATAAGACTTTGAAATAGTTTTGGCTGTGAACAGATAGTTTGAATGATTTGTTGTAATGTTGCTTTCACTGCCCCAGGTTTCTTCTAGGAAGTCAAAACAGAAAAAGCAGGACCCTAAAAATTGAGAAATGAGAAAAGATACAAAATTTTATTTTTAAAAATTAATGTCTTTAATTCAGATTGAATAAAGCACTCATCACAATAAACATCATTGCATTAAAAACTATTTTTGTTTAACTGTTTTCTATATAAGCCCAGTTTCTGTTTCCTCTGTCAAACTTTTCATCATTTGTTGATATTTTTGTCTAAACTGTGACATGAAAGAATTTTATTAATTCAGTTTTTCTTTTTTTTCTTTTCTTTTCATTAAAATAGAAGTATTTGGACTTTTAAACGTTGACCTTAGAAATTTCACCAAGGATTGACACCCAATTAGACAAAAAGTTAAGACCAAAAAACAAACTGTGACATCATATAATCAGTATTGGTAGTAAACGTCTTTGAGAACCCGCTCAGTGTGTCGTGTAACTTTTGGTCTCTGGCAGTCTTGCAGCCTTTTTATTTTTATTTCTTCCTCTTCCTCCTCCTCTTTTTCTTCTTCTTCTTCTTCTTCTTCTTCTTCTTCTTCTTCTTCTTCTTCTTCTTTCTTCTTTCTTCTTTCTTCTTTCTTCTTTCTTCTTTCTTCTTTCTTCTTCTTCTTCTTCTTCTTCTTCTTCTTCTTTCTTCTTCTTCTTTCTTCTTCTTCTTCTTCTTCTTCTTCTTTTTTTTTTTTTTTTGAGACAGTCTTGCTTTGTCACCTAGGCTGGAATGCAGATGCACAATCATAGCTTACTGCAGTCTCCACCTCCTGGGCTCCAGCAGTCCTCCTGCTTCAGCCACCCAACTAGCTGGGTCTGTGTTTCACCACGCCTGGCTAATTTTAAATTTTTTTTTTTATAGAGATGGGGTCTTGCTATGCTGCCCAGGCTGGTTTCTTTCTTCCTTTTTTAAAGACTAATGAAATGTAGTAGTAATAAGGGGAGGCAGGGTAGAACAAGGAGTTCAATCTGTAATTGTCTGTGAACAATCATGGCACCCATTTCTTTTGAAGCAAGCCCTAGTGATATCAAATGGTTTGTATCCTGAGATCCTAGGATATATTACCTTGTGGTGCTCTATATCACTAGGTATTTTATGAATCGTTGTATCAGTTTTTAACTTGCTTTTGCCCCTTCTCTTTTAGTCACTTTGATGAGAAAGCTTATGAAAAAAATCTTTGGGATAAATTTAAGATCAGCTTTACCATATTTAGAATAAACAGGTATAAGAAGTTACAAATAGAAGTAGGAATGACCAGAAAAGCCAGAACTTTAGGTCAGCTCTTATTGTCACTAGTGTGTTCCTCTCTTTCCAATGACTTTTTCTTTTGTTAGCAATGCTACAAACCTAACAACTGTAAATTACTTAAAAAGATTAACAAGTGTAAGAAATAAATTAAGGCCTCTGATGTATACATTAGAAAAATCACTGGCCCTTAATGGGTATTTAAATTTTATCATTTTGATGTTGAAAGCTGCTCTTCTGACAGGTACTTATCTATACACAGGGAATGAAAACTGTTTCTCCCAACCACAGCAGTTTCCCTTTGCCAAGAATACAGTAATGGAGTAGTTACGCCCCTTAGGCTGGCTACCAAAACCCAGCTTGGATTGTATAGAAATTGTACAGAAGAAAGAAATGAAGTCTTCAGATGTCATTAAGTTATTCATCAGGTTAATTCTGGAGCAGTTAAAGAATGTTGAGGAAATGCTGACATGTTTTAGTAGTGTAAAATATGTAAAAACCCATTCCTCCATAGGCTATGAAACTGCAGAACAAATTTGAATAGTAATTTTTTTTATTCTGTGATGCAGTTTAACTTGAAGATATAAGAGCACATCCAGAGGCTAGACTGAATTCACCCCTACATTCCCATCGTGGTCATTTTCACTTGCCACTTTCTTATTTGCAAATAAGAAAGTCCGTGGTATCTTCCCCCACCAATCTGCCACTGAAAATTGGCTCTTGGTCTGTGTAAATTTAAATTGCAGTAGCTTATTGTTTTCAAGGTGAAGTTTACATCTAATACGTCTGTTCTGAGAGTGAAAATCATTTTTCTGTAAAACCAACTCTGCTTTTCTTTATTTTCTCCCTGTACCAGCTACAGGCCATATAGTTACCGGCACTTTGCACCCCCTACCACACCCTGCAGCACAGATGTTTGTGACAGTGACTATGGTCCTAGCCGGAGAATGACCTCAGTGGCAACAGCCAAGGGCTATACCAGTGATTTGAACTATGATTCAGAACCTGTGCCCCCACCTCCCACACCTCGAAGCCAATACTTGTCGGCAGAGGAGAACTATGAAAGCTGCCCGCCTTCTCCATATACAGAGAGGAGCTATTCTCATCACCTCTACCCACCGCCACCCTCTCCCTGTACAGACTCCTCCTGAGGAGGGGCCCTCCTCCTCTGACTGCCTCCAACGTAAAAATGTAAATATACATTTGGTTGAGATCTGGAGGGGGGGAGGGAGCTTTTAAAGAAGGATGAGGCAGACCATGTACAGTTAAAATTATAAAATGGGGTAGGGAATACTGGAGATATTTGTACAGAAGAAAAGGATATTTATATATTTTCTTAAAACAGCGGATTTGCTGCTTGTGCCATAAAAGTTTGTATAAAAAAAATAAATTTGTACTAAAAGTTTTATTTTTGCAAACTAAATACACAAAGCATGCCTTAAACCCAGTGAAGCAACTGAGTACAAAGGAAACAGGAATAATATAGGCATCACTGACCAGGAATGTCTGGGCTTTGCTGATACCAAAAAAAAAAAAGAGAGAGAGAGAGAGAAAAACTATTAAGTCCATCTCAGAGCAGCAAACCATAGATACTTGGTAGTAGCCAAATAGCGTTCATCAGTTAACTAACATTTGAGGGCCAACAAGTAAGAAATCACGAAAGAAAAAAAAAAGGAATTAATACTAACCTTGGACAAGGTTAGTATTTCTTGGAATTTCTCTAGGAATCCATCAATATTAGTGAGGAAAGTAGATATTTATAAAAATCCATTCTGGGTGTTGCTGTTGTAGGAGGATCAGCCCTCTGATAAGATGCTATGAAGCTGTGTGTGTGCAAGTCTTCTGTCCCTACCTTTAGAATTCATACTTCTGTCAAAAATGAATTTTTTCTCTTGGTATTTTTACCTTGCTGCCTCCCCCAGCAACTTGGTAGGTCATTTTGCCAAGATACCATGATTTATTTAAGCTTTTAAGCTGAGGCATTGACTAAATGGAATTTTCTAAATTAAAGTTTGATTTTAATATTTCTACTAGCTCCATTCCCCAGTAAGCTTAGCTCTTTAATTTGACTGCTGTTTTTGCATACTGATCAAGATACTGTTGCTCTTCTTCCAAGATTGTTTTAATGCTCATTAAAATGTCTTTTTACAACACATATAGACAATGTTTAAGAATTAAAAATTTAACCATTATGTTTTTGTTGTAAATTAATCATATATCCTTGCACTACTTTCAGCATATATCACAGTATGAAATCATTTTTATATATATTTTTCTGAGTAAAACATTTAATTATGTTCTGGTTAGAGACAATCTACTTAAAAAGAATTTTTTCTTATTAGGATTTTCCCTATATTAACAGTTTGTGACGTTTTCATGTTCTTTAGGCCGGTTTTTCTCAGAATGATGTCTACATACATACCTCTTCTAATGTGTGACTTGGGTTCAACATCTTTCCGTTACCCACTGTGAATGTTAGGCTGTTTTCAAATTATCCACAAGTTATTCTTGTAATCACTTCATATTTTTACGTGCATTCTCTCTTACCCATTATGGATTAAGGTAATTTAACAAATTTAACAATGGGGATTAAATGAGAAGGCCAACTATTAACTTCTCAGCTGTCAGAAATTGGGTGGAAGGAATAATGGCAGCCTCTTTCGTGATCTGCCTGACCTACTGTCATGTATGGTAACTGGGGCTGCTAATTCTTCAGCTATCAGGGCTGACCTGTGGAATGATTCTAGTGCTTGCTCTGCCATCTTGCTAGAAGTTAGTTTCCTGCTTTTTATACATGTCTAGCATTTCTCTGCTAAAATGGAATGTTTTAAAGCTAATGTGTTTTTACCTTAAGAGGTGTTGGTTAGTTAATTATTGAATTTTTTTTCTCTTTTAATTCTGTTTTGCTAAGGCCTCTGTGTTTCAGGGCCCAAGAGAAAACAGTGGAAGAAAGGATTCAGAATTTTGGCAAGGGCGAAGTAACTTTTCATGCAATTAAAAAATACCCAAGTAAAGTTTTTAAAGAGAAAATTGTGATTTTAGAATAATGCTAATTGTCAGGTACAGTTTCTAAGAATCAGGTGCACTTGATTTTGCATATTATCAGTGTCCTACTTTTCAGTCAGATGAGCGTTAACACTTCCTGTTGCTGGAACTAAGTGCCCACAGTCTCAGATGAAAAGGACATTGAACTTGCATTCTGTGATACACAGGGGCACTTGATGCTTAAATGAAGATGGAAAGGTTAGCAATAACTGGGTGTTGATTAGAATCTGAGAATTCTATATGTTTACATTTTTAAATGTGCATTTTTATCTGGTGGGCTTCCCATGTGGGAACTTGCACTATCATAAACTAAGAAGAATATGCCTTGTTTATCTCAGTCCAGGTGCTTGTACTGCGATGGCAATGGCCTCTTCTTGCAAAATACTAATTTGTGTGCCAATTTGTTTAAAGTTATTTGAAGGCAGTTCAGCTTAATCTCAGTATTCTCTTTCTGGGGTAGATGAGATGAATTCTTAATATTTCTGGGAGTACTTTTTAGTGAGAGAATTGTCAAATTTGGAAAGATGTATTGACCGTTAGGTTAAATGGACAGTTAAGCTTAAGTAAACCGTATATTGATTTTTTATTTTTTTTATTTTTTTTGAGACGGAGTTTTTGCTCTTGTTACCCAGGCTGGAGTGCAATGGCGCAATCTCGGCTCACTGCAACCTCCACCTCCCGGGTTCAGACAATTCTCCTGCCTCAGCCTCCTGAGTAGCTGGGATTACAGGCATGTGCCACCATGCCCAGCTAATTTTTTTGTATTTTTAGTAGAGACGGGGTTTCACCATGTTGACCAGGATGGTCTCGATCTCTTGACCTCGTGATCCACCTGCCTCGGCCTCCCAAAGTGCTGGGATTACAGGCTTGAGCCACCGCGCCCGGCGTATATTGATTATTAAACAAGAGCTGTATTGGAAAAGTTGAGAGGAAATACATGAGACCACAAGTTGGGGGGGAAAAGAAAAAGGGATTTTAAAATTTGGCATATTAAATTCATTGTCCAAGGGGGAAAATGAATAATGTTTCATTAGATTCCTTATATGCAAAAGTATTTATTTTGAACATGTGTCGTAAAATATTTGCACTAACTGATGTGTTTAAAATTATCCGAGAAATAAACTTGAACGTAACATACTTTCTGTGCACCACAGTAAGCTGTTCTGCACTGAAGTGGTCTTTTATTACTAAGGCCTAGACTTGACTCCAGCAGAGTCCCAGTCTTCTGAATAGTGATTTAAGGAATTTTGTTACTTAAGTCATATAATGGCACATTCACAGGAAAAAAATAAGAGTTGGTGGATAGAATTTTCTCACTAATAATTTTTCTTACATAAAATTATATTATGCCTTTGGCACTTGCTGCCACTCTTACAGCATATCACAAGATGTCTGTTTAGCGGAGATTATGTCGTTACTTTAATTTTAATATAAAAATGCCTTATGATATACCACCAAGAAATCTCTGATTGTTTAATAAGTTTGAGGACAGCTAATCTACAGAGATAGATATTTAGGAATGAAGACTTTAAAGTACATTTTTATCTATTATAGACCAATAATTAGGGGAAGGGACTTTGAGCAGTACAATTTTAAGATGATTTTGAGGGTTGTATTTCTTTATCATTTAAAATACCCTAAAGTCAGGCCAGGTGTGGAGGCTTACGCCTGTAATCACAACACTTTGGGAGGCCAAGTCAGTCAGATCACCTGAGGTTGGGAGTTCGAGGCTAGCCTGACCAACATGGAGAAACCCTGTCTGTACTAAAAATACAAAAAATTAGCCAGGTGTGGTGGCACATACCTATAATCCCAGCTACTCGGGAGGCTGAGGCAGGAGAATCGCTTGAACCCGGGAGGCGGAGGTTGTACTCCAGCCTGGGCAAGAAGAGGGAAACTCTGTCTCAAAAAGAAAAAAACAAAAACAAAAACAAAAAAACACCAAAAACCCTAAAGTCAGTACTTTATATGAAGGAAACTCATTCATTATTGAAGGTATAAAAATAGCCACCATCTGTATTAGGTAGCAGTCAGTTTTGGAGGATCATCTTTTTGTTTTGCTATAAAGCCCTATTAATGAAGAATACTTCCAGTAGAGTTAATAGCTGTGGCTTACCTACTGTGTTAATGAAATGTGTTTATTTATGTCACTTGATACCAGTAGCCATAATAGAGACTGAAGAAGCATGGTTTAATCAAGCCTGCTTCTATGTAGTGAACGGGCTGCTGCTGCCTAGTTTAGATTCTTAGAAATGTCCTATTTTGAATTGTTTTATTTCTTGTAGGGGAAGGTTTATCCCACTTAATTGATTTGCATACCATAGGAATTAGATATTGGTTACCATTACAATCTAACAAGATTCAGAAACAAAAATCTTGGGCTTTCCACATTTAAAATATGTCACACTCCTAATAAATGTGTGGTGCTCAAGTCTACATATGGCAACCATAGTTCATCTGGAGTATGGATATGAGTGTGTTTACCAGTATCAGTTAGTGGACAAGTATTTGGGCATCTACAGATGAGACTATACACTGTGTGGACTGAGTCCTAAAGAAGCTTATAGCCAAATGTGGTTTAAAACATTATCAGAAGTCTTAAGCTCAAGTAATTTAATTTTATTTGATACTTCTTATCTCAAACCTCAAATGAGCCCAGAGGAAGATGATTTTAGAAAGTACTCACAGTACATGTACCACTTCTTACTTTTGGGATGGCACCATTTTATAACAGTCTCACAATCTCACTTTTGAAATTCTCAACATTTTACGGTAGAAGACTTTGGACCTCAACTATAAAATTATACATTTATAACTTTTAAAAAATTTAAATTATAAGTATTGTGAATTCACACTCTAAGGCTGACTTCATCTACATCTTATTAAACTAAGCCTGTATGTACCTGAGTGGAGTGGAAGGTGGAGTCCTGCATTAATCAGTTACGGACTCTACCCTCACCCTCCTTCAACTGAGGTAAATTTTGCTGTTTTTCTTTTTTATAAAGCATTCTTAAATTGTTGAGTTTATTGCTGAAAAAAATCTTCATGACTTTACAGATAGAATTACAGACTAAATGGTTTCTTATACTTAGAAGCAGAGTACAGATCTAACAAACTGTTAGATTTCCCATCACTTAGGGTTTGCCCAAAACCAACACCACAGAATTACAGACAACACGCTTTTGCTTAACTGCCCATTTTGGTTCTTTTGTTTTTAATCAAATATAAACAGGATAGGGGATAGAGACAGATATCGATATACTATATATCTAATGCCTAAATATGGTTATTAAAGGGAAAAGTTTTAAAGTCTAATTAAATCCGGTATTACATGAAATTAAGTATATGGGTTAGTAAGGAAAAATGTTAAAAAGTAGAGAGGATACCAAGAAGATTAAACTGGACTAGCCTTATTTGCAAGTGAAGGATCTGGTGCTGCTTTCAGATGTTTATCCTTTATTTTTTTTCCCTTAAGCTTTAATCTTTGTCATTGTCTTAAAGTCAACTGGTGTTTCTTGTTCATCGACTTTGGTACGATGGTGCTTTGCAAGGATGTATTTATATTATAATGGCCAACATTTGGTCAGCCCTTGTCCACTTACTCACTTCCCTCCTTTTGTAAAATAAGTGCTTTAATTATAAACTGTATAAAAATACCTTGTATAAAACCCCTTTTTTGATTATTACAATAAGCTGAATTGTAACAAATAAAATGTTGATTTTTATAATAAAACAGTGGAAAAATAAAAGTCTCTGTCCTTTCTTTTCAGCAAGAAATTAAGACCATAGCTGGTTGTGCTTTGCTATGATATGAGACTGTTTCAGACACAACAAAATCCACCTTTATCGTTTGCATTTTAAATAATACTCAGCTAGCACACCTATAGTCCCAGCTGCTTGGAAGACTGAGCTGGGAGGATCACTTAAGCCGGTGAGGTTGAGGCTGCAGGAAGACTGGTGATTCTGCCACTACACTGCAGCCTTGGGTGACAGAGTTGAGATCCTGTCTCAAACTCAGTCAATCAGTCTCTGCAAGAGAGATTTGCGAAGGGCTATTGCTTAGTTCAATGCTGGCAGCATTTGTAATTGGGAACAGAGAGTAAGAAATAGCCTGTACTTCGGAACTGCTTTTGTTTTCAGTAAACTG